GATGGTTTACGTCAGACCAATAGTGACAATTATATTTGTTTATTATACCGTTGTTATGGAAATTGTCTTTATATTCGCAAACATATTCATAAACGACAAAAAAACTCAATTTTCTATTGTCTATATTTCCTCTACCACATTTTCTTCAATTAACAAACAACTTGTTGACTTTATCGATATCCGTCTCCTATACTCGAAATATCGGACAGATTCTCTCTTTGGTTGAAATTCTGGCATACTCGTTCGGTAATTCCGTCATGTTCACAAAAAGATGTCTACGTGAGCAGCATCGAATGTCGTTTATGCAATTTCTGGGAACTCCGGTTTAACTGTGCTTCTCGAGTTCAAAAGAATAGAAGGTATAATTTGAATGCTTCGCTATTCGGCGCTGGATCCCTTTATAGTAAAAATTTTCTACAAAAATGCCCTTTGATCGCCGTGATACTTCAGAGGTAGCAAGAATTCTTTTTGACATAATTTTAAATGCGAACTGGATATGTGTTCACTGGGACCAAGCGAGAGATTCAGGCGAAGCAAATCGTGTAGCTGAGTTCCTTTGACAGATAATAATTTAGCGATAAAGGAAAGTTCCGGAGCACAGGGAAGGAAAAAGCTAATGACAGATAGATGCCGGTAATTTCAATGATTGAATAATTGTGAAAGCATTCATATTCTGAGAAAGGGAAGAGTCATTACATATTTTGAAATATAACCAAAATTATTTAAGCCATAGCTTCCACAATTTATAGAGTTCATAGTACTCTGTTGAAAAAATTAGGTGAATTTTAATTTTTCTCACAAATTTCCATTTTATTTATTCATTAGTTTCTATTTTGTACCCTTCAAAATATTCCCCGTCAGATATAATACACTTGTGCCAGCATTTTTTTCAATCCTCCAAGCAGTTCTGATATACANAGTGCTTCTTCGACAGGAACATTGGTGTAGATGCTTTTCACGTCGAAACTGACCAGTTGATCCTGCTCTTTGACTTCGATTTCCCCTAATAGTTCAACGAAATGTCTTGAATTTTTCACAAAAGATGATGTTTTACCTTGCAATGGTTTTTTTCAGGGATTTCAAATCAATTCATATTATATTAGACAATGGAAGTCCGCACTGATGAAATATAGAAAAAATAATAGTAGAAAACAATAAGCACAATATTATTTAAGTGTTGTTTCCTTTCATTTGTATTGAATATTCCTATACATGGTGGATGTGGTGGGAGACCAATGATCCATGACTGTACGTAAATATCCTTCATTTGCTTATTTGAACAAATCCCAGCCATAGGAATCTTGTTTGAATTGAAAGCATACCTACATCTTTAGGAGAGATTAATTTAAATAAATTGATAGATGTAGCTGTTACTACGTGGTAGGAAATCATAATGAAGGAGAAAAAATTAAACTTTCCATGTTTTTTCCACTTTTATTTGTAACTTACTGCAGTTTCGTCCTATAAGGTCATTTTCAAACTTATACATTGAACTAACAATGATTGATTACATTAGCCCTTATACAACACCACTGTAGGTAATAATAGAGGTACTCAGCTTGATCGAATACCTGCATTTTGTTTACTAGTGACAATGTGGATATGCTAATTTGAAACCCGATGAGTAAACTAAATCGATTTAATCATTTAACAGGTTGCACCCGCAATGTTTATGCTTGTGAATTTCCAAGGATTCCAAATAATTGAGTTTGCAACCCTTTCTTGCATAGTGCAGAATTTCCGTATCGTTTAGATTCGAAAAGTTGTGGTTGCATGCCAAGGAAAGGTTTGAAAACGTCGAATCATTTTTACCTAGTCTGAAAGACCTTTCATGTTCAGCATACCGTTTTGAGAAATTTCGACCTCATTGTTCCACATTACACTCCAGACACTTAGTTTATGAACTCCATATTTCTAGGAAATCAGATAACATAACATGTGGTCTGAATGCCACTTCCACATTGTTTTTTCTGAAGAAACCCGCAATGATCTCTGTTCTTTTACCAAAATATGTTAAGAGTTACCCATTTCTTAATTTCTGGTTGTTTGATTTGGGGTAAGTACCTATATTAATCTGTAAGTTAATTTACCGCTTTGTTTTCTGACTAACTTCTGGATTGTATCTGCGTTGAAACCATTATTATAACCTATCTGTGGAATTATTTCAATTTCCCTAGCTAGATTGTTAACAGAATAAGGCAATCAGAATGCCCTGTGCAATAATGAATCGTAGGCTGCTAGTTTATGAGTGTCTAGATGGAAAGAATCGCTAGAGATGGTGATGTCCGTATAGCTAGGTTTTCTGAAAACATTGAACCCAAATTTATTCTGATTGTGTGTAATGGTCAGCTCTATCTCTGTTTCGAGTGTGAACTAAATGTTGCATTTGAGATTATTCATGAATGTTAAAATTGGTTCAGCTGTCGTCTAGTATCTCTGAAACAGGCGAGAATATCGTCTACATATCTGTAAGAAAAATGAATAAGTTTTTTTACCCAGGTCGGAATTAACTATAGTGGTCTCCAAGCTGTTCATGTCTGCTAAAAGTGGACGAAGGGGTGAACCCATTGGTGAACCTGAATCCTATTTATAAAATTTGTTGTTAAACTGTAGATAGCTCATCTGATTTAGGCACACATCAAAAGCTGTTAAATTTCAAAAAAAGTTATATGGTCTACTTTGGCTTGCCAACATTATTCTTGTGTTCTTTCAGCCTAACTTTGTATACAGCTACATAACTATGGTCAACTTCTCGATCTATTGAAACTAGATGGGACATATACCTTAGATATTTTCCTTCCTGGGAACCATCTTCAGAAATTCAGTTATTATTCATGCCCTTGTTGACAACAGTTTTTTTTCTGGGATGTGAGACATTAAAACACAAAAAAAAGAACTCTAAGAAGAAAAAGAGAATCCATCATGAGTACTCATATCATATCAACAAGCAAAGTTTTTCGATGAGCGTAATACCAAGATGTCTCAAAGAATAGTTTCCTGAAAAATAAATTTCCGTCTTTATGAAAGTTATTTTTATTCTTTTAATTGGTCCCATGGGTTTGGAAAAATGATATTTCCACAAAAGTATCAAATGAGGGATTTCAAATCATTTTATATAGTAGACAATGGAAGTCCGAACTAGTGAAATTCATCATACAGTCATTTTTTAACAAGGCAAATAGCTGGGAGCAACTGGAACATATAATTAAATCGGATCTGGTTTTGATTAAAAATTGGCTCGAACATCGATTATTGACAGTAAACTTGGAGAAAACCCACTATATACCTTTCAGTTGCAATAATTCCAGCAAACCTTGTTTTTCAGAACTGAAAATTGATCAATATGTAATACCTACTTCCCGAAGCTAAAGTGTAATAATAGGATTAATAATAGATTCACATCTTAAATGGGATGCTCATATTCAGTATATTTGTAATAGGTAAGTTGCGTTGCATACTTTTTAAATTTAAATTTTGGTGAAAATATTAACGAACTCTAACCTCAAAATTTTGTACCATGCACTTGTAGCGAGTCACCTGAGCTATGGAATTGGTTGTTGGGGAAGAACCTACAATACGCACCTTCGCCCTCTTGAGGTGCTCCAAAACAGGTTCCTGAAATTAATATTGTCCAAACCGCCTTATTATTCAACTGAAACTCTGTTCAACGAAATAGATACTCGCCAGTTCTTTTATTATAATATTATCATCCATTAACATAAGAACAGAAATTTCGCTCTACCGTCTCACTTGCACAACACCTGCAGAAAAAATGATCATGTTATTCTCCAGACAAAAAACAACTTTCCAACACTCTTATACTTACCTGGCTTTGAAACTGTATAATACTATTCCTGAGGAGATTTGTACTTTCCGAATGATGTTTAAAAAAAAAAAACTATTCATTTTTACTCAACCTAGGATAGTATTTTCCGATTTTGTTGACAAAATAAATACTTGAATTCAATGTACCTACATGAATAAGTACTATCATTTCTATTAGGAAACCACACATTACATCGTTTTATTTATACTATATATTTTATTGTTCCAATTATTGTGCCATTTTCTTTCACTAGTATATAGGTATGTATTATTCTTTCCATTATTTAAAAGCTTTACTTTTATTTACGTTGTACTTTACGTTGTGTAACTGAAATTGCCGTTAACGATAGTTATATCTTGAACTCTTATGTATCCATTTTACTATCGTTAATGTTATCGGTTTAACTTTATATATCTATATTGTATATCTTTGTTTTAATAAATTTTTAAAATTGCATTGTTCCTGTTATACGTGTTAGGAATCACCGTGTTTGAAATCACACGTTAAAAGGTAAGACCTCGTTACTCCTTAGCTCGCACAAGTTACTCAACTTCTGAGAGAGTTGTCGTTCGTATGGGGGCGACAGCTGATTAAGGGATTCAAATGAATGAATAAAGTTTTTACCATAGTATGCGCTGGTCAGGCCCTATCCCCCGAAACCCCGATACATTCGAGAGGGCGCGCCAGCATTATCAACCAATGACCACTCCCCACACCGTAGAGTAAGTGATCATTGGGTCCGAGAATCATGTGCCTTGAGCAAGCGCAGTGAGTCAAGAATGACAGCCTTCTGCATCTGTGCGGCTAAGATTTCTGCCTTAGTGCGGCAAACCGGTAAAATTTCAAGATTCAAGAGTAGGGAGGGCATCATTCCACCAAGGACTCCAGTAATCAGAACAACCATCTTGACAGAGTGATATGGATAGAGTCTGCGGAGTTCGAAGAGATACAGCTATCCCTGGGTGCAATATTAAAGATAGTTCTAATTAATCTTTTCTGAACGATAAAAACACGTTTTGCCCCCACAGAAGAACCCCACATTAATATATTTTAAGCCATATGTGAGTAAACCACAATCTAAACTAAGCACATCTTTGATCTGTCGTATTGCAAATATCGCTTGATTCAATTTTTTGCAGACATGATCAATATGGGGCTCCCAAGACAAGTTTTTATCTATAAACATACCAAGGAGTTTTGCTGTTTCCGAGAGTTGGATGTTGTTAAGTTTCACTGTTTTCCTTAACGCGAAGCTTAAATGTATTGTTTTACTTTCATTCAGTTTTAGTTGATTTCTATCACACCAAGAAATCAGGTCATCCATGACTGAATTAATGTTGTTTTCTAGCTCCTCCGCAGTATATCCGGAAACTGTTATGGTAGTGTCATCTGTGAATAGAATAATGAAACCTTGTTTTATATAATTCGGAAGATCATTTATATAGATAGAGAAGAGCAGTGGGCCTAAAATGGACCCCTGTGGTACCCCAAGGATAATATCTTGAATATCAGATACTGTATTATTCACAGTCACTACCATTTTCCTATCTTTCATAAAAGATTTTATCCATTCCAGAAGGAACCCTCTGATGCCAATGTTATATAACTTACTAACCAGTATGTCACTATTTACTGTATCAAACGCCTTAGCCAAGTCAAATAATATTGAAACTACGTACTTCCCCTTATCAATTTCATTGTAAATAAACTCGAATTTTCTAGCAATAGCAGTCACAACTGATCTAGCTTTTCTAAAACCATGTTGATGATGATGCTGTTAATTTATTTTCCAAATTTCAATTTTGAACCAAAGCCCTGCTGAAACAGCCTGAAAAATTAACCAGGCATTTGGCAATGATAGTGTTAATGGACGTAATTTTCGACGTTGATTTGCGAAATTTCTTTCCGGAGATTTTAGCCTCGAAGAAGAGTCCCGAAATGGTCGACCTACAGTAATCCAGGACGAAGACTCGAGGACTCTGGTGAAGACTGATCCATCACAAATGGTGCGTGGGATGACGGAAGAACTGGGTTTCTGTTCCCGTGCGGTTTTTGGTGGTTTAAAACGTATTGGAAAGGTTAAAGAGCTAGAAAAGTGGGTATCCCACGATTTGAACCATCAATAGAAATTGTTCTTTCTAGGTGTGTTCTTCTTTGCTTCTGCGCAACCAAAGCGATATGTTTTGTATCGGATCGTCACGTGTGATGAAAAGTAGATCCTCTACGACAACAGAAGACGTTCAGGACATTGGTTGGACACCGATAAGTCATCCAGGCACGTCCCAAAGGCGAAAACCTACTAAAAAACATGGTTACTGTAGGGTGGTCGGCGGCTGGTGTGATTCACCATAACTTTCTGCAACTGGGCCAAACCATCACAGCAGAGTCTCATTCTGAGGAAATCGAGGAAATGTTCTGAAAATTGCGTCAACAGTAGCTGGTACTAGTCAACAGAAGAGGTCCGATCCTGCTCCACTACAACGTCCGCCCGCATGTTTCACAAATCACCGTCCCATAATTAAACGAATTGAGCGTCGAAGTTCTGCCTCACCCACCAACGTCTCAACTGCCTCCATGTTGAGGCAGTTGGGACGTTTTTCAAATTCAATAGCTTCGCGGATTATCCTGGCCTGGAAGAGACTTGACGGCAGGCAAAATAAAGACGACTGGCGGGGACGGACCTGAGGAAATCATCATTGGATCTGCATACCTCCCTTACGACAATCCGGAACAACCATCAACCAGGGAAGTGGAGGAGTTGGTTAGGGCCTGCCAAGCAGAGGGACTACAATTGGCTGCGATGCCAATGCACACCACCTAACCTGGGGAAACACCAACACCAACGAAAGAGGTGAGCACTTACTATAGTTTATCATGGCAAATAACTTGGACATTTTAACCATAAGCAACAAAATTACTTTCGTAAATGCGAGAAGTAGTGAAGTGATAGACGTAACGATAGGAACTACATTTGTAAGTAACTATGTTCAGAAATGGAATGTGTCCGATGAGGAAAGTTGTTCAGACCATCGACACATAAACTTTGAAATCGGAGGGATTCAGACCTCAATCCTAACATATCAAAATCCTCGGAAAACAAACTGGGGAGCCTATACGGTGGACCTGGAAACCTGTCTAGACCGCATGTATTTTGACATCAGAGATTCCATAGACCTAGAGTTGGCAGCAGATCGATTACAGGGAGCTATCATCTCTACGTACAACGAACATTGTCCCATAGTAAATCAAAGATCAAACAGTAATGTGCCCTGGTTGAATGAAGATCTGGCGAGGATGAGACAAAAAACTAGAAAAGCCTTCAAATATGAAAGGAAATCAGGTTCATGGGACCAATACAGAAAGTCCCTAACTGAGTATAACAAAGTCCTGAGAAAATCCAAGAGAGATACGTGGAGAAGGCAATGTGAGGAGGTCGAACAGACCCAAGCATGTGACAGGCTCTACAAAATACTCTCGAAGGAACCTCAGGTCTCAATAAATAATCTGAAAACAAATACGGGGGAGTATACAAAAACCGGAGAAGAGACTATCAGAGAGCTTTTCCGGGTACACTTTCCCGGGTCAGAAATTACAAATCTAACACCGGAGTCCTGGGCGAATTCAGAACTGGAGACCCCATTTGCCAGTCCAGGGAGGACTGGCAAATGATATAGAAGATGACAGATATGGAGAAAATTAAATGGGCTGTAAACTCATTTCAACCCTATAAGTCGCCGGGACCTGATGGCATATACCCAGTAATGCTTCAAAAGGGACCGGAAGTACTTTTCAAAAAATTGTGCATAATTCTCAGGGCAAGCTTAGCACTGGGACACATACCAAAAACTTGGAGACTGATCAGGGCCACCTTCATTCTGAAACCTGGGAAAATCGGATGGGACTCGGCGAAGGCTTTGAGACCAATTAGTCTCATGTCATTTGCGTTGAAAAAGCTAAAAAAACTACTTAACAGGCATATCAGGGACGTATCACTGGCTATCAGACCATTACATCGAGACCAATATGCATACAGGTCAGGTATGTCAACAGAAACGGATCTATGTCGGGTAACAGAAAAAGTAGTATATACTTACAAAAACAAGGAAGTACTTTTAGCTGCTTTCTTGGACATTGAGGGCGCATTTGATAACACGTCGTTAGAATCAATCATCCAGGCGTTGAGGAGAAGAGGGATTGACAAGCTGTAGGTGGAATGCTTGGGAAAGATTGGTATATACAACCATTATGGGGGAAACAGTCGTGGCACGGGTAGCAAGGAGCTGTCTTCAGGGAGGGGTTCTATCCCCTCTGTTATGGAACCTTGTAATGGACGAGCTACTATGTCTCTTGGGCCATAATGGGTATAAAGCACTGGGCTATGCAGACGACTTAGTCATCTTAGTCCAGGGTAAATACAATAATGTAGTGAAGGGATGCATGCAGCAGGCCCTGAACATTATAACAAGATGGACCAAAGAAGAAGGGCTTAACATAAGCCCATCCAAATCGACCATAGTAGCATTCACCAAGAGGACTAAAACGGAGGGTCTCGGACCTCCAAAACTTCGAGGTGAAGAAATACAAGTATCAGGGGAGGTTAAGTATCTGGGAGTAATCCTAGATTCCAAACTGACCTGGAACCAACACTTGGACAGGATAAAGAGGAAAGCGGAGGTAGCACTGATGCTCGCCAGACGCACTTATGGAAAAACATGGGGGCTAAAACCAGACATTGTATATTGGCTATACACGATGGTGGTTAAACTCATGATAACATACGCATCTCTGGTCTGGTGGCCAAAGATAAAGCAGGCGACCGCCATCAACAAACTAGCCAAGGTGCAAAGACTTGCATGTCTGAGAATGACGGGAGCAATAAGAACTACCCCAACAGCTGCATTGGAGACACTCCTGAATCTACCTCCTTTACACTTTGTGATGATGGGGGAGGCCAGGATGGGCCAATTCAGACTGGAAAACACACCGAACTACAAAAGATCGAACAGAACAGAAATTTCGGAACAAGTGAAGGAGCACATATTGAATATGTGCACGGACCACATGACACCGAAGTACACCTTTAACACAAACTTCACGGCCAAAATCATAAGCCGTGAAGAGTGGAAGACCATTAGTCATCCCGAAAACATGTTTGGGAAAAACACTTGGTATACAGATGGATCAAAAACCAAACATGGAACGGGAGCTGGAATATAGCGAGCGGATAGAAATCTAAACTACAGCTATCCGCTAGGACTATACACATCCGTCTTTCAGGCGGAAGTGTATGCTATCTTGCAGTGTGCAAGGCATATTGAATTGAGACCTCAAAGAAATGAGCGGATCAATATTTTTACAGACAGCAAGAGCGCACTAGGGGCTCTGATAAACCCGAAGGTGACATCAAAACTGGTCTGAGAATGCCATGAAGAACTGAATTAATTGGCAAACAGGAACAAATTAACTTTGTACTGGGTGCCAGGGCATTCAGGAATCACAGGTAATGATAAAGCTGATGAATGCGCTAGACGCGGATCATCAACTTCATATATAGGTCCTGAACCAGCTCTGGAGGTACCAAAATGATTGGTACGAAACCAGATTAGGACATGGACCAATAAGAAGTACACAGTTCTGGACAAAAGTACCTGGCAACAAACACAGTAGAACCTTCATTAGGGAACCGTCCGAGAAAAGAACCGAAGAACTACTTCAATATAGTAGGGATCAGCTCAGAATGATTACAGGGTTACTAACCGGTCACTGTCCGTTTAGAGGACACCTGAATAAAATGGGGCTGTACAATGGGGAACTCAGCTGCGGATTATGCAACGAAAGAAAAGAAACAGCTCTACACATCTTATGCGAATGTGAGGCACTGAATCACAGGAAGCAGGCAATATATGGACGTACAAAATTACGCCCAGAAGAAAATGACAAACTAGTACAAGGAACGAGACTGATGGAATGAGTGTCATGAGAAGATGAGAGAATAAACGCAATAAGCCCAAGAGGCTGCAGTGTTTTCTGGAGACTTGGACTAAATAGATAAGTCCTACAGCTCCCAAGGTACAAAAAAAAATCCTGGCCTGGAGAATTTTTTTCGGTGACAATGGTTTTAGTGTTTTAGAAGCTTATTACACAGTGATGTTTGAAGAGGGATGAGGTTGGATGCGATTTACAGCAAGCTCATATTCAAAGGGTCTGTTAGTGGCTTTTCTGTTGGTCTTGCTAAAGACCAACAGTCTATCCATGTCTCGCCAAAGACCAGTGGCGAGACATGGATAGTAGGTAGATTGAGACTCTGGTGTCAAGTCACAAAACCCTAACAGCGTGGAATTGTCCCAGGTTACGAAAGTACAGTGAGCCAGTTGTAAAGAAAACTACTCACAATATTAAGTAAGTAATTTGGTCTACATGAGAATGTTTGAGGCTTTTGGCTGATCATCCCGTGATTTTTGACAAATATTGCTGATCATGTAATTGTCTATTGATCACTTTCTTCAATTACCTGTCAGACAATAGTCTAACACAAAATTAATCCTTCTCAAAAATTTCAGAAATTAATATTCAATATTTTTTATCTACTGTCAGAATGTATTGAAAAGTACAAACCTGTTTTATGTAAGGTGTGATAACTCCAATATTGCCAGAACTAAGTCCTAGTCGATAAAATTCATTGATATAGTAAAATACTTGCGCAGCTTCGTGTGGATTATACCAAGATGGCGAATCATTATTTTGTAGATTCTCTCCATCCACTCCATGAAAAATCATACGTGGCAATTTACCGTCATTATTCTGTGGCAACATATCTCTCAATTTCTCGACTAATTTAGCCTCATCACTGCTTTCATCATCAATCTGAAAATGAAATTTCAAGTTTTATGTTTCAACTGATTATATAGATGTACTTACCGTTGAAATGAGCTCATTCTCGTAAAACAATGAGTTATATAGACTTAGGATATCAGGAAGAGATCGATAATTGTACAAAAGCTTCGTAACAAGGCGAGGATCGTAACCAAAAGTATCAGGAAAACCTTCTGGGTCTCTCACATATGGAAATCTGTTGATCAGCCTTTCAAGGTAGGACTCATTGAGTCCACATTCTGAGGCAATTTTAGATAAAATTACCGGTCCCAACTGCAGAGGATCCCCTTAAAAAATTCAATGGTAAGAACATCTTTGATGGAAATTTGATTTTTTTTAATAAATTATTATTATAGTGATGTCCTTTCAATTCCTTGCGTTACAGCTGCGACTTCAGAAATAATTTACAAAACTTTTAGCAGTTTATATGCAATATCAATTATCTCAATTAAATGATTAACAGAATCCAACAATAAAATCAACACTAAATGTGTTAACAATTGGTTAACAAATCATAGTTATGGTGTTTGAAAATATTATAATCAAGGGGGGTTTTTCTGAATTTTGAGTTATATTCAATCAGGTAATGTAATACTTGTGATGCACTATTTGGAACCTTCGGTGTAGTAATGAATATTACTAGCGTTTTATCCCAACACAAAATCGTTATTTTTCACACCTCGACACGTGTTTCGATCACCAAGTGATCATCTTCAAGAGGAAGATTGGTGTTGGGATAAAACTTCAGTAATATTTAGGTAATGTAGGTTAGGATAGGTCCAAATTGAGTGGGTCTATTCGACCCTTCGCCGCAACCCGCAAGGGTTTATTGTGGCTCACACCTTTTCACACTCGACCAAATAAACCCAGCTTAACGAAGCTGATTAGTTTGTATGGTGAGTGGTCTTTCAGGACAGATGATAAGAGTACGGCTCTGCCGAACTCTAAAAACCTGATTCGGTCCCCAGCGGGGCAGGCACAAAGTATGCAATCTGCTGTTACTTCATTTTCCGAACAGAGGCGGCACATACTGTCTTCCGACAGTCCGAGTCTGTGCATATGATGATTCAAATGACAGTAACCTGTAAGAAGGCCTGTTAGACATCATAGTTCATCCCTACTGTAGTCCAACAACTGTTTGGTATCAAGCTTCGAAGGGTGAATAAAGCCAATCCTGGAAGATTCTGCCAGAAGTCCATAAATGTTCTTATCAGATTGTCAAATTGCCGAATTGTTCCTCTGATATCTCTAAAATAAACTGGGGAGTTCCCCAAGGATTCGTTCTTGGTCCAATTCTTTTCCTTATTTACATTAATGACCTTAGTAAGATTGATATACATGGAACCTTTACCATGTTTGCAGACGATACCATACTATGGCATGGAAGTGATATAGAAATTCTGAAAGAGCGTATCTTTCTAGACTTACAGAAAATTAAAACCTGATATGACTCAAACTATCTTTGCTTCAACGGAAATAAAACCAAAATCCTGACCTTTAAGTTCAATTATGAAAATCTGACCTTGAATGAACAAATCATAAATAACAATACCAGCATAAAATTCTTAGTTATATACGTTGATGATAAATTACGATTTGATGACCATGTAAGGACCATAAACAAAAACCTAGCATCGAGCTGCTATGCAATCAAAGTTATCACTACGGAACTCGGAACAAAGGCAGGCAGAATGGCTTACTTTTCTCTCATTGAATCACACTTAATGTATGGCATTTCGTTCTGGGGTTTTTGCTGTTATCAGCTAATGAGCTCAGTATTTGTCTCACAAAAAAGAGCTCTCAGATATTTATCAAAAGCTAAGTCCAGGGATCACTGTAAACCGCTTTTTATAAAACATGGAATTCTGACCCTATACAGTATTTTTATCCTTGAGACAGTGTGCTTGATGCATAAGAAAAAATCCAATATGACAATTGTAAGACCATATAATACTCGTCAAAAAGACGACTTACCCCTACCGCTACCAAAAACGACATTAACCAAACACTCTCTCATATTTGAGAGTAAAAAACTCTTCAATCATCTGCCGAGCCAAGTAAAAAATATATCATGCCCGAGAATCTTTCGGAAAACCGTCAAAAGCATATTTTTAACTAAAGGATACTACAGCCTGCAGGAGTATTATAGTGACAGTATCTTGGGCTAACTGTAACTTTTTGCATTTTATCTATAAGATTAAATTATCAGTATTCTATAATTATGTGTGATTTCATCGGGAGATGAAAAAAATTTTATATATTTTTATTTTTATGTTTTGTTCTTTTTACAACTAGACCAAAGATATATGTATTATCTATTGTTTATATCTGCAAATTTTAACCATTTTATATAAATCACTGACAAATTAATAGGCATATACTATTGTATTGTACATGTAAACCATGCTTTGTCAACAAGAGTCTTTCCTCTTAGACAATAAAGTACATTGATTGATTGATTCTTGCCATCCAGGCGTTCAATGTTTGTATGGCAAACAGTTTTATATGTATTTTAAATAGCTCTGTGGAAATGGATCGTAACTGGTTGTCGTAGCTGAAAATAGAAATATAAACCTATACTGAATCTTCTGAAAACATCCTGTGTGTGTATTCATGTAGGTTGACTATCGAATTTACATCTTGTCGTTTTATTTTTTTTTACGTATGTCAAAGACTATAGCCATTTGCAATTGAGGCGTTTCTAAAAGTGAATTTTCTGGGTTTTGAAAATGGAAAAGGATGATTTTATAAATGTCAACCATCTAAAGAAAGTAAAGGAATGTCATTATTTTCATTGACTATTTAGTTTGTAGACAATATTAATGAATACAACAACTTACTAACTAAATAGACTCTTTGGTAGTTTATATTATCCAGTAAGTTTTCGGGGTAAACTTTTCAGTTTGCATTTACATTTCAGCAGATTCTCTAATGATTTAGGTTTGTTAATTTTTCAGATTTTGAAGATTATATACCAAGAAACAGAAGAATTATTTTGTTCATTCCTTCAACGAAACATTTGTTGGGTTTCATTAACCAATAGGGTGTTATAAAATATTAAGAAGATAAATATTTGGAATTAAAATCTGAAACATTCACCTGTCCCGATTTTCCTACATAGTAGGATGTAGCGAATGCCTGCCAAAAACAATACTTCCATGGTACCACAGATACTACCTTGCACTGACGAGTGGCCAAACAGCCCGAAACCGGTCTGAAAGTGTGTTCCAATAATTGAAAAAAAGTTATTCCAACAGCATATGCAGGAATAACTTCAGTAAAGAATCCTGCACTGACACCTGTCGAATATAATTCAAAGCCCTTCGTGGTATTAGCCAGGGGAGTCGTTGTTTTCTGATAGGTGTTAGTCCATCAACCTACAGTGTAGGGAGTTGAGACTAACCTGAACGAATTGTTCCTTTTGATGATTTAATATATAGCCAGCCTTCAAGGTTCTTGAAAATATATTATTTTTCATTTTCATGAGGATGAAAGCTTCTGGCTGCTCCGGATACACAGGTATTTTAATCCTCCACACGTGCACTTTTCAGTATCCTTCGAAATGAAAGATAGTTTGTAATATTTTAAAAGAGACCAGGCAAGTGGTTATAAATCTTTTTGCTTTCATGTGGTATTGTGTAGGTATTGGAAGATACATATTATCAATTTGATGTGCATTGTACCCTCCTTGGATAATTGTTCTTTTTAGGTTGGATATGGAGTACACAGTCAATATTCCATGTTTCATGAAAAGAGGTTTGCAGTGAGCCCTGCGCTTACTCACAAATTTGCCGAACTGCTCTTTTCTGGGACACAAACATTAGAATCATCAGTTAACTAAAATCATCAGTTGATTTTTGCAGAACCACCAAAAAGCAATACCATATCGTAGGTGAGATTTAATACGAAATCAATCGAGTGCTCATGAAGAAATGGCCCTTGTTAGTGAAGGGTAGAGTTTATTCTCGTATTGGTCTCGTTCAAAATTGTAAACAGTCGTCAAATATAAGAAAAAAATTTGATTTACCTGTATAGACAAATTTTGAGCGTTTTCAAATACTAAAATAAAAATATGTAATATAAGTTAGTGGAACTGTTTGGTCTCCCTGACTTCATTAGTGATTCTCCAGATATAAGAAACTTTTATCTGAGACAGTATGTGTTTTAACTTAAGTAAAGTAGTAGCAGTTGAATGTTGCAAACAAAACAGGAAGTCGAGAAGAAGAGATCAAAAAAAGGCTGATGACTGTGTCAAACATATTATGAAAAAAACATGTTTCTAGATAATACTATGACAAACGCTGATTGCAAATGAATAATCATAATGAAATATTACTCACCTGCTAAAATAGCTTGTCCTATATTTTTATCCAGAAACGACAGAGGTATCATTACATCAGGTTCTCCAGCCTGAGCAGCCTCATCAACAATTATGTGAGAGAAGTGTCCTTTTGGAAAACCCATTGAGAAAAATTGTCCTGCTGCACTGCACGTAGCTACTGTGATACGATGCCTTCCCAAAACTGTTCTGCTGCAATCTGAAAACAAAAATTGAAGCATCAATGTCAGAACATAGAAATAGTGTGAGAAAAATATGCCAAGAAGAATATTAAATTATCAATAGGCAACACCTCAGCGCAAATACCAGCTTTTATATTTGAGGTCTTTTAAAAAAAAGTGAATGTTCAAATTTCGCAGGCTACTTACATTCCATTAGCGATTTTTTTTATTTTTGTATGTTGGGACACTCCCTTCGAACATATGTTCACAGTTTCAGCTGTTCAGAATGTTCAGTTTGTTGGTAACGGTTATAAAAGTTAGGAGTGTTTTGCGTGTTCAGAGATTTTTTGCTATCGAAATTTGCATCAAATTCTGCTCAAAAAAACTTGAAATGTTGACAATTGCATACGGTAATTGTAGGCTGAGTAATAAAAATGTTTACAAGTGGTACAAGATTTTCACAGAAGGTTGAGAAGATGAGAAGAACGACGCTCTCCCTAGACGCTCCAGCATGTCAACAACCGATGAATATGTTGAGAAAGTGAAGAAAATTGTCATAGAGAATCGTCGAATCACTATTAGAGGAGTTGCTGATGATAGCATATCGGTTGGCTCATGACATGCAATTTTTACAGAAATTTTGGGCATGAAGTTTGTAGCAGCGAATTTGTTCCAAAATTTCTGAATTCTGACCGAAAAAACCGCCGCATGAGCATCGCTCAGGAATTTCTGAATGACGTCAACGGCGACCCAGGGTCATAACTGGTGACGAATCATGGGTATATGGTTATGACATCGAAAACAAAGTCCAGCCGTCTCAATAAGAGAGCCCAGGAGAGCCAAGACCAAAAAAATATGCTTTGATCAAATATCAAGGTACTGCTCACTATTTTCTTCGATTGCCATCAAAATATTCGTGAATGGGGATTTTTTGGCATGGTTACATTACTACGAAAGGTGCTGAATGAGACCTGTATCTCAGAATATTTTGCCGGGCAGAAAATCTACCCTCACACACCCTTATATGTTTTCAAAATTAAATTCAATGACTCCATCAAAATATTCGTGGATGAAGATTTTTTGCATGATTACATTACTATGATAGGTACTGAATGAGACCTGTATCTCAGAATATTTTGCTGGGCAGAAAATCTACCCTCACACACCCTTATATGTTTTTGAAATAAAATTCAATAACCCCATTAAAATATTAGTGGATACGGATTTTTTTGCATGATTACATTACTATGAAAGGTGCTCAAAATAATTGAAATTTTTTTTTCTTTTATACTGGATGGAAGAAGGTTGAATGCTTTAGGTAAAGCATATATTAAACATCTATGAACAATATTTTTGTTGCAGTTGGGAATTCTTAAGTGATGGTTTGTAGTACTTCTGGTTGTATAGTTATGTGAAGGATGGTTCTGATATTGCTTGTATTTGTAGGCATATTTGTAGGCATATCTACACACCTTTTTATGTTTTCAAAATTAAATTCAATAACTCAATCAAAATATTTGTGGATAAACATTGTATATTTCTTGGGAAAATAAATTGTTATTATTTAAAATATATGACAAACATTAGATGAATGCATTATAAAGTTGATCAATAAGATAGGCATGATATGATCTCAAGACAGAAAACTCTAGCTACAACTAACAAACACATAATACATATCATATTTGTACATTGAAAACAAATTTCTTCAGTTTATTGTGGAGCATGTTCAGAGATGGGCTATTTTTAATTACATTTGATGATTTGTTAAACCAATAAAAACCCCTGAAAAACAAAGAATTCATGATGTTTTTGTTTTTTGTTCTGTTTATATATAAATTATTGTTTTTTTTTGTTCAGTAAACAGAGTATAGCGCCAGTCAGGCAACACTGGTAGAAACTTCAAAAACTACCCAAAAATTAAAAAAAAAAAACCTTTATAGAAACCAAATAAATCATAAATATCATACCAAATTGGATTCCTGAACTCGACATCTCAGGCATAGCAGTACCCTCCTTTGCATTGCTTCCTGTTGCACAGTAGGGAATGAGATCAATGGGTATGGCTTCACTCATGGCATAATTATGAGATATAACTCTAACGAGATCGCCTGGTACTAGAACTCCAGAATTTATAAGCCTCAATGCGATCAAATCTGCAGCACTGTTCGATGGTGCTGTCACCAGTATTCTAGAATGAGGAAGCAGACGAATGATTTGCAAAATGGCTTCTATCAAGGTCACAGTCTTTCCTGTCCCGGGAGGACCAAAAATAATATAAGGTAGAGGCCTGGCTTCACCCCACAATATATTAACAATGGCGAATTTCTGCACCGGATTCAGTTTTTTGTTATACCACTCTAATTTCAGTTTCTGGACCTGACTTGAAGTGGAACTATCAGCTGATGAATTCATTTTAGCTTTATATTGTTTCATTTTATCTAAAACATTTTGCACCTTTCTTTTTGTTATACCATTTGGAGTTTCAAAAGACTCATAATCGAACAGAATTTGAGCACTTTTCTCAGTCACTTTTGATGGAAATAATACCTCCTGTCCCAAGTTTCTCACTGCCAAATGAACTGCATGATGTAATCTCCGATAGGCAGTACGTCCGGGAATAACTTTAATTGAATAATCTTCCCCTCTATACTTGTCATGAAATAAATTATTGAACCTCATATATACATGTTTTGCACCAACTTTGGACACAATTCCCTCAAAATCCAATTTGTTTTTGCTAAATGGATCATTTGCAATTATTTTATCTCCTATCACAATTGACGGTCTACGTTCAGACAAATTCTCTATTTCCAACATTAAAAGATCTCCATTGGAAATGAAACATGCTTTTTCTTGATCATAGATTCTAATAGCTATCAAATTAGCAATTTCATCAAGGTGTAAAAGAGAGTGAAATTTGTCTTCATAGTTCATAAAACTCAAATTGGATACTACTGAAGGTTTCACGACCCTCAACTGCTCTATTTTGTAGTCGATATCATCATTCCTATCATTACTGGAAAAGAGTTTAAGCAACTTTTGAGGAATCAAGTACGACGGTAATTGTGCAGCAGTGAATCGAGATGTGCTTCCTAATTTGTGACCTCTCAATAATTCATTAGTGGATTTTTCATGAAGTGGTAGTTTGGACTTATATTCGAAGGAACTTTTCTGTTTATTGAATTGACATAATACCGTGATGTTGATCCATTTTCCAATTGTGAACTTATCGAACTCCAGTAACAATAACTCTCTAGTTACACCCATATTTCTTGATGTACATTGACAAGTAACCTCGTGTTTAGTCCCTTTAGGAATCACAACTTTCTCTGATCCATTCAGAATTATACAGTTGCTTTTTGGGTCTGAGAAATGTGCTTTAGAAAAATCAAAGTTACATTCTGATTCATTTGAAATAATAACAGAAAATTCTCTCACATCATTCAAGTTTTCAACTGAAATATTTACATCTGAGACAGTTAATCCAGGGTAAGTCTCCTGAAAGTCAGGAAGTAGTGAGTTATTTTGAACAGTGGTCCCCAATTTTGTAGAAATATGTTCAGGTAAAATTTTGATGGCTCTCCACCGACATCTTTCCTGATCACTTTCGATAACTTCCCCGATTATTCGATCCCCAACAAAAGGAATGTAACCCATAGATAAAGCTTGCTTGTTGAAGTAAATATTATTATTCACAACTCCTGTCTGCTCTGCCGCTCTCCAACAGGTCACCTTACCAGACTCTATATGTAAACGAACAGGCGATACTTTATTAATTTCCAAAATTTGGCCACTCAAGTCGAAGTTACTTTCGTTTATGGTACATTTTGCATGGATCTCCAACCAATCACCAACTAGAGGTAAAAATTCTAAAGATATGTCATCCAAGTTCAAAGTTACATCCCATGGTGAAAGGATCAATTTTCTACCCATTCTCTTTTCTACCTTACAAATGAGAACTCTACTATGCCACAGAGAATCATCATTTCTCGGGCAATCCCATTCATTTACAAGTTTCACATTCAATACTTTCAATATTTCGTTATACTCTACAAGGTGATATGATACTTTCGAACCGAGTTCAAATATTGAGTCATTTTCCTGAAATGTGTACAAATCATCGATGATATATTCGTTTCCACTGATTTTTGTTATGGTTCCGATTTTGTTGGAAACAAGATTACTTTTTGAATGATTAGTAATTGTTTCTCCCTTCTCCTCAACTTTGTCGAAGGTATTCAATATACTGCAGGCCTTTTCATATGACAAATCGTTTTCATCGGGATTTGATTTGAAAAAGGAACTGATATACCCCCACATCCTAGTATGTAACAATTTGATATTTCTACTTGATATGATCTCAATTTAGAATAGAAATATGGAGCATCATGAAGATGGTCTTGACAAGGATATCTGAACTTGAATTCCTAAATTATGCAATTTCCGAATATTAAAAAAAATAATTAGCTCTATGGACAAAAATAATGGTAACCCATACACATACTATGCACAGATATTTAATCTGTGCTATAGTCTAGTAGGACTAGTCATAACCAAAGAGTACAGTCATAACCCCTAAGGCCTAAATCACAATAGCCAAAACTTCAAAACAAAAACAAATGGAGTATTCCATTGATAAAATCAGTACTATGATGAGAACTACCATTCTGAATTCGTGTTCTGTGAAGTAATAAATAAAGGAATACAGAAATAAATGCACTTTTGAATTTTTGACTGTGCTGTCAACCGGTATTAGTCTTATTTCTATTAAAAAGAAATTGATAGCGGCAAGTTATGTCATACTATTGGTTTTTCAACAGATAGAACTAAAAAATGAATCCCTTTTACAAAAATTTTGTCCAACTTCAATACATTGTCTCTTTTTAAAAGTTTAGAGGCGAGGGACTATTCAACAAGAATCCAAGTACCTTGGGGTTGTATTGGATGAAAATTCAACACATAAGGAATACTTTATATCAATCCAGAAAAAAAATCTAAAAAACTCCTTTTCTTCTCAAGAATAGCTGCTCACATATCTTTGAAAACAAGATCGACAGTTATTAATGATATCATTAAACCACATTTTATTTATTGTTCCACAATACTATACTTATTAGACAATAACAGGAAAGCCTCTTCAAAAACTTCAAAATCATGGGATGAGATTAATCCTAAAATGTAATATATATAACCCATATGCTAGACTGCTAGAGACTTTACAGTGGCAATCAGTAACCAAAAGGTTGACTTTCTCAGTAATGATCTTCATTTTTAAAATTGTCAAAGGTTTGATGCCAACTTATTTCAAACAGTTCATCAAGTTCAATCATGAGGTCCACGAATACTATACTAGAAGTGCAAACAAGTTTCATGTGGGTAAAACTAATACCAGAAAAGGTATGAACTCACCATTCATGCAAGGTTTAGTTGAATATAATACCGTTCCAAATGAAATTAAAGAATGTGATACGCTTGTAGCGTTTAAGAAAAAACTCTCTAAATATCTAGAATTGTTATGAATGTAGTTATATTGTATTATAGATTTTCAGCTGAATTGTTATTGTATAGTGTTACTGTATAGTGTTCTCTCTCTCTCTCTCTCTCTGATAATGGCTTTTTTGCTTTCATTAAGGCGCAATAAGCCAAGATGGAAATAAATTTCATCTTGGAGCAGTGACAAAATACCTGTTCTGTAAATTTTCCATCATTCCTATGGTGTTGACATTGACAAGTTAATATTGACATTTTAAAGTTGTTTTATTTTGTGTATTTAAGTGTTGTTAGTTGTTAGTGTTAGTAATGATTGATTAGTGCTGGAATCTAAATATATAAGGAGGTTTCCTTATAGGATACGAAAATGAATGCTCCAAAAGTTGTTTAAAAATAGATCTTCGAATATAAGGGACACGAAATTGGAAATGTCTAGGATCACTTCCTTGTTCTTGAGTGATTTTCTGAAGTCTGTTTTCACTTAAGGATGTTCGTAAAACATTACTTTATATGGACGATCATAACAGCGATAAAATAACATTTCATGAGTTATGGAATCACCTCCATCAAGCTCAACTTGGTCAGAAGCTTTTATTCTCAGTGATGACAGTGGTCTTCTTCTGACAAATGGATCAGCTTCTAGCGGTAGTGCAAATGGAGATGGTCGACACGAAAGAAGATATTTTCCATTTGAAGTGAGATTTAAATAATATTCTTGTATGGATAAATTTTCATTTTGTTGCCATGTAGAAAGAAATCAATTTGAGGAGCTCACTACTCTCTCAATACGTGTACAAACTGGTCCCATAATATACGGCAATGAAAATCTACAATCATGAGAAATCTCTCCAAAATCCTTTCGGAAATATCCGAAATTTGCCCGATTCCTCTGAATGCAGTTGGTTAGTACCTCGTCCACTAGAGGGAGTGACATTATTTATGTTCGCTCCAACTCAAGACGAGGAATTCAAAGTATTGCAAGCATTTGAAATTAATATTCACCAAATTAAGATATTATGAAGAGCAAATATTAGCTATTTCATATATATAGTTTTTCAAGTTGTTTTTCTTATATCACAACATTTACTCTTTAGAGTAGCTTCCAAATATAAATTTTGATAAGCATTATATTGAAAATAATCTACTATTTTCAAGTTGAAGATCTAAAATCAGATAAAAAATAGTAATAAATACTGAAAAATAATAACACGTAAAATCATAAATCACTTGTCACTTTAACAAAGCCTTACAACACCTTTCTCAGTAGTTTTCTTACATGTAGTATCTGAAAACATTTCAGGATAGCGATTGCGAAGAGAGGTCTTTGTCCCAGGATGACTCTTTGGATGGAATGTCAGACATCATGTGTGGAGAGAATTTCAACACTCTTAAGAAAGGCCCCCATTGGACTGATATTTCAACCAAAAACTTTTCCCCAATAGCACCTCCACTGGAGTTTCAAGACAAACCGAGAATCTCAATGCTGGATTTTTTTTGTGAAAAATTTGCTGCCCAAATAATAAGAAAAGCTATTTACGAATACAAAGATGGCGAACTTAAAAAGCTGAGAATATTGAGCCAATTACAAAGACCACTCCAGATATTGGGCAGATCTTATTTTACATCAGAATTTGTGTCTTTCAGCCCATGCCACATTGGCAGACCTAACTCCAGAAGTTCCCTGGGGTCTTCCCGTCTGACCAGTTCCCACAATTCTCTGTCTGTCCCAACGGCTCAAAAAGTGGATGATTCAACGTTTATCACTCAAGCTGTTTCTCATGATACCTTGTCTTCGAACCAGATCAGTGATTTGTATAATGTACCTTTTGACAGTGATATGTATGCTGTTCCTCTTGATGTGGTCAAACCACCTCTAAAACCCAAACGGACCCAACCCAAGAAGAAAAGACGAAACACTGCCTCGGGGTGCAGGGAGCTTGAAGTTAGGCACTATCGGATGATTTCCACTAAGAAAAGCACAATTAAATCGGAAAAGGTGATTCTTTCATTCAACACTTTTTTTCATTTCGGAGATGAATGATGGTAAATTTTAAAACATAGTCATAAATCTAAAAATATTTGATGAAATTGGCCGATACTTGATGAAAATCTATAATGTATTATTGTGAGATCTTCACTAAACAGATTTACAAAAACGCAACATGTGTTTCGCCATACAATGGCTCCTTCAGACGTGTCTTTACTAACTAAATCTATAATTCAAAAATATGGATATAGATAGACAAGGTATATTATTTTTGTAAATTTCACACCAATTTATTCTGAAACTATATTGATAACATAGTATTTATCAGTTTCATTTTTAATCTTAGGGTATGCTCACCAAATGTAAATTTTCATAATGTGTACTCCCAAGAATTTTGTTGGAGATTTTATTTCCAGAATATCACTATCATATTACTGTATGACTGGCAAATCTCATTTGAAAGTAATATTTGTTTTCTCCAATTTAATGAAGGCAGTTTGATTTCTACCATTCCTTCATTTATACTTCACTACAAAACTTGTTGAACAAATTTAATACTGCATAATTTGTGTTCCTATTGTTTTGAAATCCAACCTGTTGTGAACTTGAAATATTATTATGGATGGAAAAAACTTGTTTTTATCTTTTTGTTTGTTGTTATTGAAGCGTTAAAAATATTATGGCACTTTATAATTAACTGTTCTATTTAAAATTTAATCTTTTTCTTCAGTCACATTGAAATTATTATCACCATACTTATATTGTATTATACTCTCATTTCATGGTTCCGATCTACTCACTCATTTTCCTATTTGAATTATTGAAATTATTAGAACTGATTCTACTACATTGTAATGCTTTTCAGAGTTTGTCACATTGAAAACCATTCCATTTGTTTGATGTCACAAGTTTTATAGATGTATTTGTGATTGAGGAAAGCTCAATTATGAATGAAACATGCGTCACATTATTTTATTTAGTTGGAAAAGTAGAAAACTAATTAGTCGATGGTGCTATATTATCTGCAAGTACTGAGAACCATTGCAAATTTTACGTACGTTGAAATGGTCTTCACAAATTATATTTGTTAATATCTCTTTGGTATAATGCCTTGCTGCTTCCTGCCATGTACTTCATATGAAGGGTCCACTGCAATAATGATGAATGACCTTTGTTTATTGTTCTGATATAATGGGGTTTTAAGTTTATGAACAGTGAAAAAAACTCAGACTTAGAGATAATAATATTTATTTTAAGTTTAAAAACATATATCACAGTATTCGTAGGTATCTTTAATTAATTAAAAATTAAATAATATGGCAACCCACACATTGTCTATGTATGAAAAATGCATATACATTTTCTGTCTGATGCTCTGTCTAAGGGTTTGCAAATTGACTCTGTGTACACTGATTTCTCCAAAGCTTTTGACAAAGTTAATCATGAGCTATTGATCCATAAACTTTGTTTATATGGTGTTGATGGGCAAATATTGCAGGGGGTAATAAGCTATCTTACGGAAAAAACATCATTACTATTCTCATACTATCGCCGTTACATCGGGTGTTCCACAAGGTTCACATTTGGGACCACTGTTGTTAAACCTTTTTATCAACGATCTAATCAGCTGTTTCCCTGAAAGCGAAGCTTTGCTATTTCCTGACTATTTAAAATGTTTTAAAATAATTAAAAGTTAAGCTGATACATTGTGTCTACATAACGATATAGATTGCCTATCTAACTGGTGTTCGCAAAATGGTATGTGTTTGAATGCGTCCAAATGCCAAATTCTTTGCTTTCATCGAACACATCACCCAATTACTTTCGAATATAGTGTAAACCAAAGATCTAGATGTGATCCTAGACTCCACACATTTCCGATGTAATTCAAAAATCTATGAAGGTGCTTGGCTTTATAAATAGAACCACTCGTGATTTCACCAACATCACTGATATTAAATCTCTTTATTTTTCCCTGGTTAGATCTCATCTCGATTATTGTTCCACAGTTTGGTCCCCTCATTACGATATATTCCTCTCCTCTCCTGCGATATATTCCCTTCAAAATACGTGTATACTATGACTATACTGCATTGGAATGCATTTTTGAACATACCTTCTCTTGAGGCTCGCAGAAAACATAGAGATTTAATACTTCTACGCAAAATTATCAACGGACTGAGTATCAGTCCCGAACTTCTCTACAAAATATATTTACATGTTTCCAGTCGTTCAACAGGTGCAAACATTTTACGTTTCTTTTTACAGATTCAATTATTCATATAAGAGCTTTATTCCCAGAACTCTTCAATTGGCTAACTCTTTAAATAACTTTCAAATCTTTAATATATCAGTTTCCAACTTTAAAAATCATATTCTTCACTCAGCCATCAAATACTCTCTGCTTGTGTTGTTCTATTGTGTCTAGTGTTACTTGCCTGTAAGAATTATAGTAGTTCATATTGTTATACATTTAATTTTTTCTTAAATAATCTACTTGTTATCTTACTTCGGGATTGTATTATTCTTATAATTTACTTTCAATCCACTGTATTGCATCAAGTACATAGCACTGTCACTGTACTACTTATATCTGAATTGGGCTTGCCCGTGTATATATAAATAAATAAATAACAATGTTTACGTAAGCATGGGAGGGGGGTAAGAGCTTTGCTCACTATTGCTGACAAGGGGATGAGGGGTAAATGATGTAATAAATATGTCTACGTAATCCTTGAATTGCCCCTTGAGACAAAATTTGAGATTTTTCATAACCATCAGGAAGAGAAGCAATTTTAATTTTTAAATGCTTTTTTTCTGCTTGGAATTTGTCGCAAGTCCAACATGGGCCCATTTTGGGTTAACCGAATAAGTTGTTGAAGTTTTCATTGAAAAAGTTTCGAAATATTTTGTATAATACCTGTGACATTGAGCGTTCTAGCCGTGTAGAAAAATATTAAAAACTAAATTATCTAGGAGCTGTAAGCGATATTGCTAAGTTTTTGAACGAGATTATAAACTGCATATATCAAGTGACCTAATGACGGTAGTAGTTTGAATTTTAAAATTTTTGAACATTTATCATTATAGCAGTGAATCCTTGATATGAGACTTTCATGAGCGCCTTTTTCAGATGGTACTTTTACAGCAAAATTGCACAACTTTGATTGTATTTAAAATACAATAGCTCAATACTAAAATACACTCAAAAACAAGCATAATAACGTTAACTGACACAACATTACAACAAAGAGGAATAATAAAATCTGACCCAGTTTTACCAAACTGATGGGGAATACAACCCTCAGGAATTGTTGTGCCACATAGTTATTCAAAATTTTGAAGCCCCTACAGTTTTAATGTATACATAGTATTGACACTCATCCACAAGCCAATGTTTTCAGTTAGCTATTTGCATTTTTATTGTTTCTATGCATAAAAGAAAAAAAAAATTAATAAATAGAAGTAAATAATCTAGCGTAAATATGTTTGCCCATGAAAAGTATCTGCATTTACGAGGGTGATCTGAAAAGTCTCCGACCTAACAAAGATAGTTTCTTCAGATTTTTTAAAAAATTTTCAACATAGTCTCCTTTTGAAGCTTGTCGCCCACTTGTCCGGCACAGCACGGCCCGTCTCGTTAAAATACTGATAGGATTGGAACAATGAAAAAGAATGGACAACCGTTCACTAGCCGGCACGTCACAGTCATGAGCATCCGTCACCGGAAAGGATTCCAGCTCTCCGATCCTGTCCGGAAACGGTACGTGCCAAGTGAGCGAGTCGCCGGCCAGCATCAACTTGTCCAAACGTACCTGGGAAGTTTCTGTCTCTATGTTTAATATTCCATCAGTTGACAGCACAGTTTCAGACGGTACCTATGAAAATGGACGAGGAAAAATTGAGTTGCTTGTTAAGGCAGGCTCTAGAATATCCAGAATATATGTTGGTTGTAGCTGGACAAGTGGGTGATGCTACTACCCGTCACCATCAGGCGACGGACAGCGCCGTGCTATGCTGTGCTGGGCAAGTATGCGACAAGCTCAACTCTATACACTTTCCCTGCGATGCTCTCATCTCTGTAACCCTTCCAAATAGTATTCGGCGTTTTTCTCTGCAAAATAATTGTTCACGAAGGTGATTGCCCCTTCGTTTGACGAAAATCTCTGTCCTCTGAGCGCAATTTTCAGATGAGCAAACAAAAATAAGTCGCTTGGGGCTAGATCTAGTGAGTGAGGCGGATGGTCAAGCATTTCAAACCGTAATTCGTGGATTTTTGCCAATACAACCGCTGAGGTGTGAGTGTGAGTTGTCTTGGTTAAACAGGATTTACTTTTTCTGCAAATGTGGCCGTTTTCCCCAAGTTCTGCCTTCAGCTTGTCGAGTAATGATGCTCTTGTATGGTTGCTCTTGTAATGGTTTTTCCTTTTTGAAAATAATCGATTGAAATAACTCCATGACTATCCCAAAAAACAGTCGCCAACACTTTCCCAGCCGAAAAAACAGTTGCTTTATTTGGAGCCGATTCCCCCTCTGCAGTCCACTGTTTGGAGTGTATTTTTGTTTTAGGCGTATAAGAGTGTATCCAAGTTTCATATACAGTAATTCATTAACGCAAAAACTGGGATTTATTGCGCCAACAGCTTTGGAAATGTTCGTTTGAACACGTTTTCGTTTTAACGCGGCACCAAAAGCGCGGACAGCTTTCTCATCTCTAAATGTTGATTTAATATGTGACAAATACGTTATTTTGACATGTTTATAACCTCTGCTATCTCTCACTTTAATTCGACGGTGGTCTGGCACCATTCAGTGAACTTTGGCCATGTTTTCTTCGGTAGTTGCTGTTTTTGGACGTCTCGAACGTTCATCGTTTCCCAAACTTTTACGGGCACGTTTAAATTTAGCTGCCCAAAATTTCACTGTGGTGACTGAAGGTGCAGAGTCCCCATACACAGAATCCAACTCATTTGCGTAAGCTTTCAAAAACAAATATTTGATGACAGCTCATTTTCATAAAATCACATCAACTCACTCAAACGACTGTTACATAACAACTGTGCCTCCAAAATGGCTGAAACTTTGGTGAGTAACTGTCAACAGATGAACAACGAAATTCACCAGCTTTTATTTACGTGTGCTGCTATCTTCATGTTGAATCGGAAACTTTTCAGACCATCCTCGTAGAATTATTCATTTTAGTTCACATTTCATTTTAATAACATATTCTAGAAAAATATATGTCCTTACACATTTTGGGATGCCATGAAGATATGGCGAAACTGTTCATTCCAAACTCTTATCCACGATCTATCTCATAGTTGTTTCATTGACTTTCAGACACAAGCCTTGAAATCTGACACAAAAAGACACAGCCTAGCTGGTACTTCGGCCTCTATACAGGTTGAGCCGATTCACATGACCCTTCAGGAAGTGCGACAATACTTGCAGACATTATATTCAAGCTCTTCAGACTCTTCAGAAGTACAAGACAAAATATACAAGCCCAAAGCCACCATCTTAGTTACAAATAATAATAAATATCCTACAAATACTAGTCTGCTGATAAACAGAGATTGCACTGTTTCGAACACCAATGTTAGATCGAAGAAGAGTACTTTTTTGATCAATATCAAGAATAAAAAAGTGAAAGATTCCTGTGATAATATCGGAAAGCAAATCAACACGTCTCCGACGAAAAAAGACGATAAGAGGAGGAAACCTGCAAAAATATTCTCCTTCAAGCAAACCTTGTGCAACATGTTTCGATTCAAAAGGTTCCTCTCGCCGGAACACATGAAGGTCGGTGGGACTGAGAAAAATTATGGTGGTAACAGCAATATTGTAGGCGATGTACATAGTAATATTAGTAGCAGAGCTTTGCCGCCTTTGCCGATGAAGGAAGTTATTGGAGAAGTGATTGACGAGGAGCAGACTTTAGATTTTGCAACAAGCATCCAAAGGGTTAAAGATGTAAGTATTCACTTGCCTCATGAATAAATGGTAGTTATTGAATTCACAAGATTCTCTCTAGAGAGCTGACTGCTGAAAGTGGGTCGCTCAAACGACCCGATGGAACATTCACTGTCTCTAGTAAAGAAACGTTAGAGCTTTTGATAAAATAACACTTTCCTGTAAATCTGACTCTTGATAACAACTGAACTCCCGTCTTCGATGGCGTTAAATGCTCAAAAAAGAACGATTGGTCAAGAACGTTATCACAGCACCGGCATGTTGAATAGGATATCAAGTCGTTGCAGCCCTTCAAATCTCCTGGAGAAGATGGTACACTTCCAGCTCTTCTTCAAAACGGACTGGATATAATTTTACCTATTCTCATAAAATTGTATAGAGATAGTCTGGCGTGGAATTATATACCACCCAGTTGGTTGGCAGCAAGGGTCGTATATATACCTAAAGTGGGTCGGAAAGAACCACATACTAAATCGGTACGACCAATCAGCCTTACATCCTTTCTGTTGAAAGGACTTGACAGGATTCTAGAAGGACACATCAGGAGGGTGGCATTATATGAATCTGTCGATTTGCCGGTTTGATTTGCATTTGACAATGCACTACCTAAATCTATAGGATCATCTCTGGCTAGGAAAGGTATAGAATCCATAACTGGCAGATTTATGCTATGCTGGTATACAGAAGTGCAACTACGACTCTTCAAGGCAAAGCCATTGGGTTCAGGGTCACCAGAGGCTGCCCTCAAGGTGGGATACTATCTCCCCTTCTGTGGTCGCTCCTGATGGATAGTCTGCTTGATGCCCTCGACAGAAGAAAAGTAGATCTGCAAGCTTATGCATCTTGGCAAGGTCCACGTCGGGAAGGGTAGCTTGTAATATCCTTCAAAGCACGATGAACGTTGTTCACAGTTGGTGTCTGAGGGAGCAGATGTCTGTCAACCCCAGCAAAACTGTGATAATCCCATTCACCAGTAGGAGAAAATTGGATTATCTAACGCCACTTTCCCTCAATGGTGAGGTCATTCCATTTGGAACGGAGGTGAAATATCTTGGCATTGTCCTTGATAAAAAACTCACCTGGAACGCTCACTTGGAAAAAGTTTTACACAAGCCAGACTGTCCCTATGGACATGTCGAAGGCTTTGTGGTGAAACTTTGGGTTTAGGTCCCAAACAAATCCTTTGGATTTATGTGATGATTGTCAGACCAATGATCACTTATGGTGCGATTGCCTGGTGGTCAAATGCTTGACAGAAAATGGCCCAGGCGAAGCTCTCTGGCTTACAGAGGTAGGCTTGTCTGGCCATCAGTGGTGCCGTCAGTACCACACCGTCAACGGCCATGGATATCCTTCTAGATCTACCTCTTCTCCACATTTTTCTGGAGAGAGAGGCTAGATGGACTGCATATAGACTTGTGCACATTGCCAATTGCACAAATCAATTTAATGCAGAGTGCAACAGACTGTTGGTTGACACTGGAAGTCACAGCATTCTGTTAATGACCTCTGACTTTATGCCCCCAACTGTCAACTACGAACTGTTCCCGAGTAGAGAAGACTGGATCCTCTGAGAGAAGGACATATTAAGGGCAGATGGTTGTTGGTTCACAGATAGAGCAAAACACCTTCCGGTTCTGGTGCAGGTATTGTTTTGGTTGCAGACCCAGGACAGAGATATCAACCTGCCTAGGAACCTATGCGACTGTATTTCAAGCAGAAATTTGCGCTATTGAATTGTGTACGGAGAGATTGGAAAAAGCCAACCTCACACACAAGTACACAAGTCAATAAAAATATTCTCGGACAGTCAATCGACGTTGGAAGCTCTTGGCTCCTACCAAGCAATGTCTAAATTGATAGCAAATTGCCAAAAACGACTTTCCTCGATAGGAAGACTTAACAGATTATGTCTGGTGTGGATTCCTGGCCATACTGGCCTGGAAGGCAATGAGCCTGCTGACTCCTTTGCAAAGGAGGGCGCGGCAAGCAGCTTCAGCGGACCAGAACCTGTCATTGGCATTGCTTTAGGCTTTGCCAAACAAAGATTGAACACCCGGATGGCAAGAAGATTTGTGAACTTCTGGCAGAGTCTTCCAGCATTGGCTCACTTCAAGGCGTTTATTCACCCTTTTAAGCTAAGGGATGAACTACAATGTCTAACAGGCCTTCTTACAGGTCACTGTCATTTGAATCATCATATGCAGAGACTCGGACTGTCAGAAGAGAGTGTCGCCTCTGTTTGGAAAATAATAAAACATCAGAGCACATACTTTGTGCCTGCCCCGCTGGGGATCGAATAAGGCTTCTAGAGTTCGGCAGAGCCGTACTCTTATTATCTGACCTGAGTTTATTCGGTTGAGTATGAATAGGTGTGAGCAAGGAATAATTAACAATAGAAAATATAGTCCTTATTTGCTATGTTCTTGAAAAGTGGTATCAAGCAAGATACATTTTAGATTTTTTAGTCATTCTTAACAATAACCAAATTACTTGTTACTTGTGCCACATTGATACAGTGGCAAAAAACATGTGTTTTTTATATTAAATTCCTTTCTGTATTATATATTTTCACAATGAAGCTATAAATTGTTTTTTTTTGCAGTATGGATGGTACTGGGGTCCAATTTCAAGCGAGGCAGCTGAAAAAATATTATCCAATGAGCCAGATGGATCGTTCATAGTGAGGGACAGCAGTGATGACCATTACATATTTTCATTAACATTTAAACTTAATAACTGTGTAAGACATGTTAGGATAGATCATGATCAGGGTAAGTAAATTCAAAAATTACCTTAGTTTATTGAAAAATTACTCTTTGACCATTATTTTATGAACTAGCTGGTTTATTGCATCTTCACTCTTTTTGAAATGTTTCTAGCAATATAATATAAATAATATCAGTGATAGTGCAGAAATAATAGTGAAGAAATAGAAAAAAAACTGAAATTTGTCTGTTTACTCTAACAATAGTTGGGGCAATAAAAAATACACATGTATCATCAATGAAATATGTGATAAAACACATACTTTTATTATTGTATCCTTTTCCTCCTCCATAAACAAAAATTTTTTTTGAAATATTCTTGTTTTAACTAATAAAAAAAGTATAGTGTTCTACTCGCAGCAGAAATAGTCATCACTCGCTCTAATGGTTCATATTGCCTGCCTTCAGCTCGCGTCAACTAACTTCATTTTCATGAGTGATAGCAACATTTCTCGCTTGTTGAGTAATACGTTATTTCAAAATCACCACAAATGTGAGATACTACAGATCACCTTATCATGTTCATTATTTTGAATTGAGAGCTGAATTTATTGAAAAGGGTGACTTCCCAAAATAAAGATCAGGTGACCTCTTTTGCAAGACCGCCTGCCCGGTACTGACGATGCCCAATAGGCTGAAACAGCTGTATACCGGTGGCTCTTAAATTGAAATCAATATGGGAATGATCAAAAAGTTATAACAAACTTACCCATGTATGTTTGAGTCAGTTCATGTATCATTTTATAGATATAGATCATAGTTATGTAAATCAGTCTTCGCTCCACAGTAAATACCTGAAAGTATCCAGCATCAATGAGATAGGAGCTGACCTACTACATCGCAATACCATTCTCATTGCTCGATTTTGTAGCTTTTGTAATTGGGATATTTTATTCAGATCAAAGCAATATAGTAATGTAGGGCAATATTCAAAATGAGGTTGAAAGCTAGTCTTATACACAGTTATTCTGGAATTTAGACTGGAGTTTGGGGACACTCTATAAAAGAAATATAGTTTTTTCAAGATTTTTTTTTAAATATCCAAAGTGGCTACTAAATAATAAATGATTATCCAACATAAATCCCAGATATTTAAATTCCTTTACAATTTAAATTTTTTCATTGTTTATTTCTATGTTAATGTTACTACTATTTATATTTATAAGCTGTAGTAATTATCATTGCCTAACTTTTACTTAAGTTTAACTTCAATTTATTCATTTTCAAATATTTATCCATATTTTGATCACTGCTCTATCGATATTCCCGATATCCGTTATTACCGATATCCTAAAATTATTTAATATCATCATCATTACATTGTTTTACATTTATGTCATATTTCAGGTAATTTTAGTTTTGGCAGCTGTACCAAATTCAAATCTCAAACTATCGTGGAGTTCATCGAGAATGCTGTAGAGCATTCGCGTAGTGGTAGATATTTATTTTTCCTTCATCGGAGGCCTGTGATTGGACCAGTTCGAGTACAACTCCTCCACCCTGTATCTAGGTTCAAGCAGGTTCAGAGTCTACAGCATATGTGCAGGTAAATGAACTTATTTTGCTGACTTAATTATAAATTTTCATCCATGAAAAAGATGACCTATTCAAATCAATCAAATTTTGTGTAAAAATGGAATTAAGTGCTCAAAAACACTTGAAATGTCGACAGTAGCATACGGTGATTGTAATCCAAGTCAGAAAAACGCTAACAAGTGGTACAAGTTTTTCACAGAATGTCAAGAAGATGTGAATGACGCCACCCCAACAAATCAACAATCGATGAAAATGTTGGAAAAGTGAAAAAAATTGTTATGGAGAATTGTCGAATCACTATTAGAGAAGTTGCTGAGGATTTTGGCATATTGATTGGCTCATGCCATGCAATTTTTTCGAAAATTTTGAGTTTGAAGCATGTGGCAGCGAAGCTTGTTCCAAAATTGCCTTGACCAAAAAAGTCGTCGCATGATCATCGCTTAGGAATTGTTGAATGACGTCAACGGAGATTTGCTTAAAAAGGTCATAACTGGTGACGAATCATGATTACATAGCTATGACATCGAAACCAAAGTCCAGTCGTCCCAATGAAAGAGCCCAGAAGGGACAAGACCAAAAAAAGCAATGTCACTGTTATTACAGTAATGTAGTGCATTAGGAGTTCTAGCCACATGATTGTATGATCAATAAGGAGTATTATTTCAACTTGAAAGTTATATTTTTTTGGGAATCGTTGTTATTAACAGTAGCCCAAATAAGTTCAATGGGATTCAAATCCGGATGGTAGGGTGGAAGTCGCAAAATGTTATGTCCGTGTTCAAGCAAAATCTCATCAAATTTGTATCTAATATGATACTTTTTATTTACCTTGATCAACTCGTATAATTCGGATTTGAACATGTTAGGGGTGAACATAGTGCTTTTTTCGAGCAGCAACTTCACCATATCAGCCTTCCTAGAATTTGTGTTGGGAGCTGGATTAATTTGAATATTATGGTATGGAGCATTATCGTTCACGACTACCATATTCACAGATACCTTTGGGATTGTTATTTTTTGTCACCATTTACCATAATTTTCAGAATTCATTTCTGAATGACAATTAGGTATGAAGCCCATGTCACCTCCTGCATAGACAATAATGAGTCTTGGTTCCTTCGCAATATTTTTAAATAACCCTGTGGTTGATTCATCCGTCTAGTTCTTGGAAGATGTACGTCCACTGTGAAAGTATGTTTTATCAAGAAACACAATTGGTTGCTGTTGGCTACGAAAATATTTGATTTTTTGTAAATACTCAATGCTCAAACCTATTTTTTTTTTAATTCTACGCCACAATTCCCAAAACATCATTACTCTTGTGTTGGAACTCTTTTACCATAATACTACACCCTTCCTTCTTATGAAAGTCATAAATAATTCGTCTAACATTGGAATACTCATACTCGGGAATATCAGTTATTAGCGCTCTTCTAGGCCGCTTCTTTCTTAGCATGGAAAATTGTACTTCTCCATTATTCGCAGAAATTAATTGCTCCCCTTCTTTAACCACTCTTTCAATGGTTCTTATTGAAATACAAAATAAAGATTGGTGTTGAAATAGGGGCAGGCTCGCCATCACGTTTGGCGCTTGCGCTCAAGCCCACTCCAAAAAGTCTATGGTAAAAGTTTGTGATTAAAAATTATATGATGCATTATAAGTTTGAATTATAAGTTGCGAAGTCATCAGAAAGAAATTCCTCAGCTTTATCTAGCAGAAGTTTTTTCACTCTTTTTTCGAAACTGTGTAGCAGGTTAACTTTCTGAGTGAAAGGGGGAGATTATTGAAATATTTTTTGCTGTTATAAAGAATCGAGTTTTTAATTTGTGCTGTTGATGGGATAGGAAGAGGAATATTGAATGTGAGACGAGTAGCATAACTTCGAGTTGAGTGTGAGATGTTATCTTTATGCTTTTTGTGAATTGGGCAGACTGTTTCTGAAATGAAGAGGCAATAGACTGTTAAGACGTGGTGAGTTGAAAAAAGGGGCTTACAGGGATCTTGGACTTTTGCTCTGGTCATGAATCCCACTGCTCTTTTTTGAATTGTGAAAACTTGACTGATTAAGTTTTGACAGGTGCTCCGCCAGAAACAAACTCCATAACATATGTTGCGTTTTTGTAAAACTGTTTAAGGAAAATCTCACAATGAATTGTTTCTTGAATATGTTATGAATTTTCATCAAATTTTGGCAGATTCCATCACATATGATTAAATAGTGTTTGTAGTCATCGAGCTAAGGTATCCACCTTAGCTAAAATTATTGAAACTTCTGATGTAACATGTTTCTCTAGTACATAATATTCATTTGATTTCACAGATTTGTTATTCACAAAAACGTCAGGCGCGACCTAATTCCGAGCCTTCCCTTGCCGAGAAGGATGATAGACTACTTGAACACTCCTTATTATTATTCCGAGCATTTCATCGATATTTCAGAAGGCGAACAAAATAATAATAGTAGTAATGACAGTAGAAGTTCTACCTTATCAGTCCCCAGAACCGACAGTGATCAACAGAACGTCCAGTTGGTTGTAGATCCCAGTGTACCTGTTAACAATTATATCATGATCAACGATACGAATTCATCCGACACCAGACAATCTTAGGTTGTTACTTCTCCAGGTGAAGTTGGCAATACTTTGAATTTTGATAGACATTACATATATTATGTAGATAAGTATTTATTTTGTATTTATTAGTCAACCCAACAGAATATGCGCTATAGGGTTTTCCCTAAAAATTATTAAGTTGCTTAGCTTCTACTAAGGTACTGAAAAGGTTGTGGAAATTGTGAACTGACTCTATTTGTGAGTTAGATGGTTCTAACATTCTTGCCACTTTTTTCAAGTAGCTTAAATCTATTACATACTTGCTAAACCATTAGAAAACTAAAGAATTCTTATATGAAGAGGGAGCTGTATACAATTCTATCGTATCCGGCTCGAAGGGGCAAAGCATTCTTTCTGCATGTTAATCTATATTTAACATCATCAATCATTTGACATTCATCTGGTGTGTTGAAAATTGTGATTTTGTTGGTGAAAGATGGTTTAGTATTCTATGTCACAATACAGCTTTCTTGGTACTTTGGAGTTCCTACGTTATGAATTAATTTTCATTTATTTTCTTATGTATTTATTTTCAAGACGTGCAATTATTTTTCAGACCAAAGCTCAAAATGTGATTTTATTGTTTGTTTGCTTCTTGTCAGAATTAGTTTTAATTTATTCTGAAGGCTTCATATGTAATAGTTCATAGTGTGATAAATAGGAATAAATGATGAGTGTATAAGATTGAGGCTAAACTGTTTTGAAAAAATAACATATTTAATAATTTATTTGTTTTTCAGAGAAATTCAATAATAAATTGAATACACTTTATTGTTTTATTTTTGATCAAGTAACGCAAGAGCTAAAAATTAACTTTGAGTGTTCAAGCCAGTCTTAGATATACCTACACAGTAGGTTGAATGGACTGACGCCTATCAGAAAGCAACTACTTCCCTGGCTAATACCACGAAGGGCGTTGGATTATATCCGACAGGCGTCAGTGCAGAAATCTTCACAGAAAATTTCCTACATATGCAATTGGCAATACAACTGAAATAGTCGACCTTCAATTTTGGAACGGGCACACTTGCAGACCGGTTTCGGGCTTCTTAGCCACTCGTCAGTACAAGATAGTGGCCATCATCGACCTAAAGTCAATGATATTCCATAATTGAAAATCGGAATACTTTCAGAGTATTTCATTCCTCTTCTCAAGGTAGAGCGAACAACAAAATGTCCCTCCATCTAGTGGACAAGGTACTAACCAACTGCATATCCGAAATTTGCCCTGCACTGACGAGTGGCTAAGAAGCCCGATATCGGTCTGCAAGTGTGCCCATTCCAAAATTGAAGATCGACTCTTTCAGTTGTATTACCAATTGCAGGAAATTTTCTTTGAAGATTATTGCACTGACGCCTGTCGGATATAATCCAACGCCCTTTGTGGTATTAGTTGGGAGTAGTTGTTTTCTGATAGGCGTCAGTCCATTCAACCTACTGTGTAGGTATATCGGAGACTGGCTTGAATGTTTGAAATTCAAGCATAGCCCACTGTTGAGTTAAAATTTGGAGGTAAAATTCAAAATGGTCATAGATATATCATGCGAGCATTGTGTAGGGTAGGAATTTAATGGTATGGTATACTTGGTATACTGATGGGTCTGAGGTGGATGAATCGGAAATGGTTGAAATGAGAGTGATAGAGACAAGATTCCAGCTCTTCCATCCATCATATTCATGGTGCATGCTATACAGTCATGTGCTCGGAAGTAAATAAAAATTTGGAATCGTGCAAGGGCAAAAGGTTGATTAGCTCTCTCCGAAGAAAAATAAACAGCTTCTAGGTTTGAACAAAAAATATCTGGGTTTGGTAATAGGATACCTAACAGGACATTGCCTTGCCTCAGTAAGAATTTTTGCTATTGCGGTTGTGCCACTAAGGTTGCATAACACTTGCTCTTATCTGCAAAGGACCTTGAGTTTCTTGAGGAGATAACAGTGAGGCCCTGTGATATCAAGATCTATTCCTAGGAAACTGATAACTTTGCTTAAAGTATCAGCATAGATTAGGGTTATGTACTCTGTGGTCTCATAGGTACTGAGAAGCCGGACATTTCAAAAAAGGATTCTAACAATTTTATTTATTTACGGCATTGCCTATTTTTACAAAATAATCAGTAAATTCTGACATATATACTGTAACGATAATCTATAATTATCAGTTGGATGTAGAGAACCATAAATTGCAATATTTTTAAATGATTCCAAAGAATAATTAAAAAGTTCTAAATCCACATTGTAAGTGTTAGCAAGTCTCAAAATTTCACCTTGCCATATTTGGTATTCACATTTAAAGTTAAAAATTCAACAAACTACCATTCATTATTTTGTAAATTAGTATAAGATCTGATTATAAGCTACATATGTCCATCCAACAAACACAGCAACCCAAACAATGATAGATGCGTGATCAAATCATGATTACCATGCACATTTGCATCTATTGGGTAAAATAAACAAGCCTCCTTGCTCTGGCCAATCAGATTTAACTGCAATCGACCGGCCGAATTCACTGTTACAAGGTTGGAGAGGTCAGTTACGTTTTAATGCTTGGTGTGTACATATACAGTATTTTAGAGTTTAAAAATTTCAAAATGTCAAGTACTGAAGAAACTGCTAATTTGTGTCTCTACACTCCACCTANCAAAATAAACAAGTCATCAATCACACATATTACATCAACAATCGATGAAAATGTTGAGAAAGTGGAGAAAATTGTTATAGAGAATCGTCCAATCACTATTAGAAAAGTTGCTGAGGATGTCGGTCTATTGGATGGATCATGCCATGCAATTTTTTCTGAAATGCTGGGTGTGAAGCGTGTGGTAGCAAAGTTCGTTACAAAATTGCTGAATTTTTACCAAAAAAAACCGTCACATGAGCATCGCTCAGGAATTCATGAATGACATCAACGGCGATCCAAATGTGCTTAAAAGGGTCACAAGTGATGACGAATCAAGGGAATATGGTTGTCATCGAAACATTATGACAAAAAATCATCAGCATAGTGGTGGTCATTTTCAGACATTTTTTATTTTTTTCAAATTCAAATCAATGATTAAACTTTAAAAAATATTCAAATCGTGACTTGAATGATTTGATTTAAATCAGGTCAACCCTGTTAAGAAATAAATGTATGTAAATCAATGAATCAAAGGCTCATTTTGTACCATGATATCGAAAAACTGGATGTCAGTATAATGGTAATTACAATACATACCTCTGTTACGAAATATCTGATCAAGGAAATATCAGTATCACCCTTTTGCCAACATTGTTTTATATATTTCACAACTGGAACTACGAATCCAGAACACAAAAGATTTACCATTCTATCCAGAACCATTTTTCTCATCTCCAACTAAAAAAAATATCGATTTTTTCATTCGTGTATTCTATAATTCTCTATATTCATCTACCTGCACTAAAATTTCAAGGTCGTCTTGTTTGGATTCAAATAAACGAATCAGCAAATCTAATACTTGATTATGCAGCAGAGGATGTAACGTTACAACTTCATCCAGCAAAGCTAAGTGTATGGGAGTATGTTCTGTACATAGCTTGAAGTAGCTGGGTTCAGTAACGGTACNGTGTAGTAGTAAAGTAAAGTTGAGTTTAATGGTACAGTGTGTTCCATTATTGTCGGACCTTCGGGGATTTTTTTATAAACTAATATACAATGAAATTATTTGATTTTTTGTTTTTTTGACTGTTATGGATAAACTCAAAAACTACTAAACCAATTTTGAAAAAATCATCTTTAGAAAGCTGCAATATCAGCGAGAATACTGAAACGACTAATATAACCCAAGGCATAAAAATCACTTATAAATAAAAGTCATTATTTGACATGCACTGCGAAAACTATTGAAGATGAATAAAATAATGTACTAAATGTTTATATTACTCATCATTTCCAACAAAAAGTCTGCAACAGTTCAAAACATCGAAAGTCAGGCTGATTATGAACGTGTAAATTAAATTGTTTGAAGTGAACCTTTCATTTAGAAGTTATGAAAGGCATAAAAATGTTACCACTGAGAAAAACACAATGGTGTGAATGATCTATGTAGATGAATTTTTCTGTGGTTCACATAAATGAAGTAATGGGCAAAAGCTTTTGTATATAAAAAAAACTGTGATAACTGCAGTAACGATAAATAATGGACAGGGGGAACTAAAAATTATGAAGCCTTTAAACCACGGACTTGATGGTTCACAATAAAACTACAACTCTAAACTGCACCCTTGCAAATATTCTCAAATGCAAATATTTTCAATTACTGATATATATGTTGAAGAAATATGTTTTTCCATTAACCAGATGTCGTCCCCTCATGAATGATAACCCTCAGAAGTCGAAACTGCGAGATAAGGATTGACAAGATCTTACTTTTCAAAGTACAATTCCTAGCACAGGTCAAAAGATATGCAGTGAACATCAATCTTCCTACAGTTTGGATGGAACATAGCAGTTAATTCCATAATAGTAGGCAATAAATTATCAGAAATACTGCATTAAAACGAAAACATTATTGTCAAGGTTGTGATTTTATATCATCATTTTTCCTCATCTGTTCAGTATAATTTCCGTACGCCCCTGCAAGACAGATTGAGGCAAAAACGTCATTCATTTCTGAGAATTCAGTGCCTATTTTGAAATTATAGTATAGATGAAAATGTATCATGAAGACAACATATTGAAACCCTATAATTTGAATTTTATTCAAAATGAGAAATATACTACTAAAATACCTTAAATTGATTTATTTTTCATTAGTATATTGCACAATTCAATATCTAATATTAGTAGATATGGGGAATGGCAAAAATATCCTTATTGAAACCAATTAAAAAACTTAAGAACAAAATTATAAGGTGTATATTTAAATTAAACTACAAGGAGCCTATTGTCAACTTGTATAAACCAAGAAAAATATTAGATTTGTCATCCTTACATAAATTCAAATTATGTACCTTCATTCATATGGTCAAAAATATGCTCAATCATTCAAATTTGACTTTTAAAATAATTTGTGACCAACACAACCATTTGAAAAGATATTCAGGAATTCTAAAATAAATGAAAACAAATGGTCAAAATTTGATTTATTATAAAGGTATCAAGTTTTACAATGAGCTACCGAATGCTTTGAAAAATTTCAATGTCCAAAAATTCCAAATTAATTAATAATTTTTTTGGGGTAGGCTCTGTTCCTGTTAGTTATGTATAGTTAGTTTTTGAATTATTGTTTTTTCTTCTCCCTGCTGTGAACATTGTATGTTTCTTGGGAAAATAAATCGTTTCAACTATTACTTTAATGAAATGAATAAAAACACTTTTGTCTAATTACCACTAGTTGATTTTATGTATACGACCTGTTTCGGGTTTGACCCCATTATACTTGATATTCATTTCATTAAAGTGATCACCAATTATCACAAAATAAGCAAGTCATCAATCACACATATTCTACTATTACTACTAAAAGCGTAGAACAAACCACTCACAATAACCAAATAACTACCATTCAAACACCAATATTTTGATAAATAATTCAATAATTTACCTAAAAATTGTGGTGTCCTTATCAAATCTATGGGCGGGGGATCTGCTGCGTTATAATTTCTGTAAAGTACTGTAATATCAGCAGGATTCAAGTTATTCTTTGACAGCATAGCCGTTAGAGCTTGACAAGCTGTGGGATATGCAGATGCACTGTTCAATGCCATTGTTATTGGGGTTATGTCGTTTCCGCTGAAAAAAATTGAAAATATAAACAAAAGTTTCATTCTGAAAAAAAAAACTCACTTTTTCTGAGCGCATTTTGTTATTTCCTGTGACAGCCTCTTCATACTGCTGCCTCCTTTAGATTCCCGGGCCAGAATATGTATAATCACTTGACTGTAAACATATGTATGCTGTCCGTGACAAACCATTTTCTGGAATCAAGCAAATATTTTATGTATTATATATGAAATTACTACACGTGTTACACAGAAATTGAGTAATTTTTGTGGACGAATCATTTGAAATAAGATGCCTATACACTGGTATAGCGACTCATATATGTAGATTTTTTTGCAAATCAGATGACCAATGTGGTTTACTAAATTTCAAAAGGTAAAACTAGAACCTCTGGCGTAAAATAAAGTAGGATGAGGAGCTTTATTTTTGAAGACGCTCAAGTTGATTGGTGAAACTCATGTCAAAAAGAGTATTGCAGTTTTGATGTTTGAGAAAAATGCTTCTTTTGGATTTACTTGGTTTTGTTTATCAGTTAAGATTTCTTCGAAAACTGCTTGATGGAAAAAATGAAAGTCTGATGATGCTAAGTCAGGGCTATATGGGGATAGTCCTGCAATTTCCAAAGTCCAGTTGTCATCCAGATCGTTCTTCATCATGAACATTTGTCTTTCCACCATTAAAAATTAACATCTTATATGCAAATTTCCACACCTCCATCATTAACTTGGGGAATTTCTCACGATAAACTTTTCTGCGTTTAAAAACTGAATAACTGAGCGTACTTCACAATAGGCAGGATTACTGATTGACATGATGATAAACAAAGCAGTGTAACCAAACAACTAACACTTGAAGAGATATGAAATGTACACACAGCATAGTGAAGGACTGGCAAATACTGACCAAAATCAAAAGGACATCACATGGCAAGATGCGCAATTGGTACTTACTTGCAAAATGATCCTCATATCAAGTAACTTACTGTATAAACATGAAAAGTTTTTAATTCATACATATTTTTACTATTCTTTTACTCATTTGTGACCTACCTAATATACTCTATATATCAAAGGTAAATAATAGTAAATAAATCCTATTACTATTAAGACTGACAAAATTCTAAATTAATGATGACTGTCTACTAAATTAAAACTATCAAGTCTATGTGTTTTATTTTGTTTGTAGGTATGGTGTGAACAAACATGTTTTTTTTGGAAAATTACCAAATTGAATAGTTTTGAAATTCTTTTCTCAGGAAGCAAATAAAATACTACTTGAATTATCATTTTTAGAACACACACAGAAATAAGTATAAATATTGACTAAAGGCACCATCTAGCAAAAACTAGGAAGTCATTCATTTTTGATGAAAGGCAATAATAACTCACAGCACATTCTTTACTAGTATTCTGCCATTCTTCAGGATTGACTAGGAAACTGGATATTGATGTTTTGAGTACTCTCGAAAATACTTCCAGCTGTTGAGCAGCAGTAGAGATACTCGTAATCTCGCCTTGAAATCCAGCATCAGAGATGAGCTGAAAACAGGAATCAACAATACAACTTAAGGAAGTCGATTCAAAACTGTACCTCACCTTTATTGTGAAATTCAACATAAGACAATCTGGATATTCCTCTGCCAATCTGTATATCAAAGATCTCCATGTTGGATGTTCTATCAATTGAGTTAACCAGGCTGGTGTTTCTCCTTCCTCAGTGAAAATTGTGTCAGCCTTTTTAGGGTCAAATGTCTTAAGTATCATTTCTTTCAAGTGGTTTTCAACCATTGCCTGAACATCAGTAACCTTTACCCCTAAATAGAAAAATTATGAATACTGATACTTATAAAACAGGACAAGAGAAATAGATTGCAGCAACTAATTGCACCCAATAAAAATGAAATTGTATGCAATGAAACTTGCAAAGTGTAAAGAGCTTGTAGGCATGTTTATTAATAGTAACATACAATATAAATTAGATAAATTAGTATATTGAGTCCCTATTGTGTTCCTTGTAGTTTGCTTTATGAAATTTTCAATGAAGTTCTCCCCAATTAAGGTACGAAAAAAAAATCACCTCCAATTATTAGCCATTCAGCTATCAAGTTAGCCATTTGAGCAACAGCTGTGTAATTTTGTGACAACTCTTCGATAACCTGCAATGGATTTCCTCCAGATTGAAAATACCGTTTGAGTTGTGAGAAAATTCCTGGTTCCATAATATAATCTGAAGTTGAAAACTTTTCTGCACATTCTGCCAAAACTTGTTCTGGATTCTCGGCATCTTCCCCACCTTCTGACTAAAAGGGAAGCGATCAATTTTGTATTTTGTGTATATCTTTCACACGTAACTAATGTAAATCAACAAGTAACTATATTAATAAATAAGGAAATATTTATATTTGCAAAAAGAAACTTTGAATCTATACCCACCTCATTATCAATTCTGTCTCCATTATCCCAAGGGCGATCGTCATATTCATCATCCATGTTATTGTCAATTACTATAATGTATTATCAGATTTTGTCCCTCATGAATTACCAAATACTCCAAAACATTCAAAAAAATTGTTTATCAAATCCAACCTCAAACTTCTTATTTTATTATTGGCACGAACTACTACCGTAAGTTAAACGATGAAGACCACCATCGGCGTGACCGTCTCGTTAGAGGGCAAAACGTCAACGACAGTTTAACATTTTATAGCTATGTTAAGTGCTTGAGAGGTGGATGTTCAATTAGGCTTGTTTTAGTAATTTTAGGGACATTTTGCAAGGTTTCGATATTCTCTGACTAGGGTGCAATACCGCTCAATACAGTCCGCTCTAGCCTCTAGTATCGTTTCTTCGTCACTAAAATACAGTCAATAAAATACAGTACACAGTTGGGAGTTGCATGGAGAATCTATTATTGACCCTTACAATTTATTTTATTGAGCTTTGACGCTGAAATACGGTTCATGTTCGTGTGACCAATTGAAAAACTGTCACTCTCCGAAGAAAAAATGTATCTCATGATCAAAAGTGTAGCGTGCCATGTATTGTAAACCTTAGTAATAAATAGATACTTTGTTAGATAGTTTTAGTATCTATGGCCAAAAAGTAATAAATGTATCAAAGAAGAGAAGAATAAGAACTCCAACTAACCTAATTTTTTATAATAACAGTAGCAACACTAGGATCCATTGAAAAAATTATTTTCAATTTTTATCATTCCAAAATTTTATTATCTTAGGAAATTTTTGGAGTATTGCACAGTAGTTTATTGAAATTTTATGTACAAACCAGACACCGTTTAACTCACAATGAAAGTAAATATTGAATTAGGGTGAGATTTCCAATTATTCATCTGAGTGTTTAACTTTGTGTATCTTTCTAATTTTGAAAATTAATCTGGCCTGCAGCAATTTTTGAGGTTGAATTGACTGAAAGATATTTTTGGCTTATAATAAAATTCAACACTTTTATCACACACCACAACTGTAGATAACATATTATTTTTGATCATGTTAAGCTTTTCCTGTTTATATTTATAGCAGATTGGAATTTTTTCAGAAATGCAACAAAAATTTATGACTTTTATATCAATTTTTAACAATATTCTTTCAATGAGAATAACTCAATTTTTGTTAGAAAAATTAAAGTCAAATTCATTTCAGTGCACAATGTTCACAAAAATTAAACTAATACCAAAATAATACTAAACCAAAAATCATACAATTCACGGTACTTTTGTGTATTCTTAAAATAGTTATATAGGTTTTCAGAGTCTGGCCAAACTTATTAAGAAGTCTGATTGTCGTAGCAAGTTCTTGGACAAACTTTGGTGTATTATCCTCAATATTGCTTAGAAATGGACTTGCATTCAATAATTATTTGTTCTCAATTACAGAGGAGGAGCAGAACTTTTATTTGGCAACCAAAAGCAGCATGATATTGATCTTCAAGATGATAAGAAATGTAAGAATATTAAATATTTATATATTTTATTTTGCAGTAAATACTAGTAATTCTGGATTTATATATTTCAACTCATTTACAGTTTTGCCAAAGTAGATTTAAACAGTGGCAAACATTTATTTATTTAGGGCGTCCTATCAGCTAGATGTGGGAAAAAAAATAAAAAAAGCAAAAATAAGCCAGTCAATTACTATATTTTCATTCTTTTTAAATGATTCCAAAGAATTCTACCTACGACTCATTCTGGCCATGGTTGGTATGATAAAACGATACTCTGAATATTTCTGTATTTCTTGTTCTCTTTCGACTCACATTCAAAATTCCTTGTTAACGTACAAATAGATTTTTCATCTATCCCACCCCAGCCAGGTAGGGGTACACCGTGAAGGGCGTTAGTGATGTCTGAGGACTTCATACCGCCAATACCCCCTCAGTCATGAACCCATTTGTCCCTCTTCAACAAAAATCAGCTAAAAGGGTAAGGGAGCTGGGCTCCAACCTGAATGAACTCAAGACAACATGCAGGCACATTCAAAATTAGAAGTTCAACAAGTTCCGGGGAATTAATGCTACCATTGACAAAATATTGTGAATTAGTGTAAGATTTGATTCTAATTTTCTATGAGCCAGAGTATTCAAATTAAGAATATCCAATATAATTTCATTGTTATATTCACACCAATATTTTATCTCAGTTTATATGCAGAGTACAAACACATGTGTTTCGATCACCAAGTGATCATCTTCAAGAGGAAGAATTGTTTTGAACACTTTCAAGCATATCAATATCTACATTATATGAGGGGCACCAAATTGTAGAGTTGTATTCGATTATTGATCTAACAAATATTACTGGAGTTTTTTCCCAACACCAAACCATTATTTTAACACCACATGTGTTTCGATCACCAAGTGATCATCTTCAAGAGGAAGATCTTCCGGACAAGATTGCAACTAGTCGCCTTGCAGGGAACACTGTGAGTCATACTTTTGAATCAATATATAAGGAATCGTTCATTAGAATTTGAAAAATTCCTGTAGCCGGATGAAATGAGGTGTATACAAGGAAGGCACACCTAGGAGGAACATATAAATGATGTCTTCATTTATATGTTTGTAGTTTATATTTAGGCTAGTCATAACAGACATTTCATGTCTGTTATGTTATGACTAGCATACTACAGTCATTTCCTTGAGCTAATTGTGTAGAATTTGCTGGAGTAATGAGGGATTTGAATTTTATTGTGCTTGCCAGTTACCCTAAGAAAGGATTTCTAAAACTATCCAGAAAAATATAATTTCATTCTGCTATTCAAATATTATAAGTCACAATTGAAATACTGAATCTTTTTTAGGGATACTTGGCGATTTATTATTGTGGATGAAGGACAATATGTTGAAAGAGAGGCCAGAATTGTTTTTGCAGGATAAGTCGGTGTAAGTAGTATAAAAATGAGAATGTGGAATGAATCAGAAAACTGTAGTAGTTGCAAAAATGGTAAGCTGAAATGCTTGTGTGGATTTTAGGTAAAACTTTTTTTTGTACTTCATAAGCCCGTTAATTAGGATTCGGCGATTTTTTTTGTTTGAATACTATAATAATATGCATTAAATATTGTTTTTTTTTTAGACGTCCTGGAATACTGGTTTTAGTTAATGATACTGATTGGGAACTGGTGGTAATTAAACTTTCTGCCTAATATTACATGTCATATTATAAATTTTATTTTCAGGATACTGTCAACTATGCCATACAACCTAATGATAGGATAATATTCATATCAACTCTACATGGGGGATGAGATTTACTATATAAGTTTGTTATTTTTTTAATGTAACTTATGTTTAATAAAAACTTGATATTTATGTTTACATTTCATTTGCTTATTTTCTATTCATACATGAAACACTATTTGCAAAGTGAAATTTAACTTTCTAGGTTTGTGACTTGAAGTTATTTACGATTTCTGCTTTCAAAAATTTCATTCATAATGCTAAGTTCATATCTAATCACTACATAGTATAAAACAAAGTTGCTTCCTGCTGTCTGTCCCTATCTATGCTCAGATCTTTAAAACTGGGCAACGGATTTTGATGCGGGTTTTTAGAATAGATGTAGTGATTTATGGGGGAGGTATATATATATTTCAATATTAAATTTTACAAAAAGGATTTGAAGCTTTATATCTTCTAATAATTATCTGCGAGCGCTTTCGACAGCTGGTAGTACTGTCATCTTCTAGGCACTCCTAAAACTGAACTTGTCATCCTGTCGTCTGCCTCAGAGCGTCTCAACTCAGATATTCAGGTACTTTAGGTAAATTTGCCTGTATTTGTACTGCATCAGTTACTCTTCTTTGTGTTAGATCTTCTCTAGGAATGTGTATGGTTTTGTTTAATATATTGAATGTGAGGTCTTGTGTTTTGATTTGTACTCGTTCCTCGATAAGTGATTTATGACTGTTAAATTTATGGTTGTTCAAGCTGAAACATAGTTTTTGATTTATTTCGTTAATTTCTTTTTTTATTTTTTCTATTCTTATCCATTTTTTATCCTCGAGAAATAATGGCTTATTTATGAAGCGATTTTAAGCAATACAGTATTAATCCTTATCCCTTTATAGTATGTAATTTTAAATGGATATTTTCGAAGATATTACATTCAAAATGCAGGGACATAGTGGTTGCGGTGGTACCGGCGGCGCCTGTCTATAAATAGCGCGTCGAAGGCCGCGCTTCGCCCTATAGCAACGATCGTAGGTATATTTAGTATCAGAATTACACCCGCGCGGAGCTGGGCGGTTCGCTAGTTGATGATAAAACTTAAAAAAATGCAGTGTTTGCCATATCAAGCTTACAATAAGAGCTTGAAATCGTGGTGTAACGAATTTAGATTTTTTTAAAAAATGTCATATATCTTCTCATATTCAGATCCCACCAGAAGAGTTCTTTTCAAAAATACGTATTATGAGCATGGAGTACCTCAGGAATCCGTACTTGGTCCCCTTTTATTTATTGTATACATAAATGATCTTCCTACATATATTGATACAGCAGATGTTTTTTTATATGCCGATGATGCAACTTTTGTCATAAGTAACCAACAAGTGGGGAAACTAAATCAGTTTTCATGTGAAACACTGGCAAAATGCAAAACATACTTTAGCGCCAATGTTCTATGCTTGAACGCAAATAAGACTCAGGAAATAACCATTGCAAATAGATCCCAAATGTCTGACGGTGACAAAGAGGTGTGTCTATTAGGATTCCACCTTGACAACAAATTAAATTGGAATGGACATACGAAATCATTATGTAAAAAACTCTCAAGGTGTCGCTACGCATTGAGAGGACTAAGGAGTTTAGTTTCGAACGATGGGCTGAGAACTTCATATTTTGGCATGGCTCATTGCCACATAAATTATGGAATACTGATATGGGGTGCTTCCTCACATGCAAGTGATGAATTCATTATCCAAAAAAAAGATGAGAGATTTAGAAAAAGTTGATTCCAGAGCCAATCTTCATAAAATGGGTCATACTTACATTACCTTCCATGTATATACTAAAAGCAGTATTGTTTGTACATAAAAATAAATATAATAGTGGCTCCAGCATTCACAATTATGATACAAAACACAAAGATATAATCAGGTTACCGAAGATGCATTATCAAAACACAGCCAAACAAACGGAATTTCTTCCCATAAAAATATATAACACTTTGCCTAGTGAGTGGAAAGACCTTCATATCAAAGAATTGAAGTTCAAAGTAAAAAATTCACTTGTCAACCAAGGCTTCTATAAGATTGATGAGGTATTCAATTGTCAGTGGACCTAATATATGTACCTATATGTGTTTATATATGTGTATTTATATTGTGAGTCATAACTATTGTGAGATTTTTTTGTGTACTCTATGTATATTTTCAGTATGACGTACCTAAGCAAATTTTGTTATTGCAGATATTTTCTAATGTAACAGAAATTGTAATTTGAGGTCAATAAAATTTCTTTCTTTCTTTCTATTAGTGTATGCAGTCCACTTCAGAAGTGCTAGTTAAAAATAAACCTAATTTAGGTATTTTGTAGTCCTCACATATTTTACTGTGTTTATACCTCAGACCACAACTTCTCCTGGATCACCCTTGTGATACTTCTTTTTTGTGGATTGTGGACTTTTTCATATAAGTATAAACATTTTTCATATTTATGTGGCGAGAAAGTTCGTTCAAATAACGTTATAAACAAAAATGCAATATATACAGAACAGACATAAATAGTCTCCCACCCCCGTTGACTTAAGAATGGAACGAAATTTATCATTTCAAGTACTTTTTGTACTGCATCTCATTTGTTGCAGAGGGTAATACCAATTTTTTTTTTAATGCAAAGAAGGATCATGTGAAAACTCGTTTGATGGATATTTCATTTCTCTATCCAACAATAATGAAGTCCAATCACAAATGTATTTCCTACATTACAAAATATTCCTGCGAATTCTATCTATGAATTCTGGATTGAACTCTGGTTAGGTGTCATACACTTTTATTATATCATATTATTATTCAGATGTCACATATCTGCTCAAAAACATCTAGAGGCTTCATATCAAGTGAACAGTTTTGAACTGATGTTACGATTCAGAAAGATGAGGTACCTCTATATTACGACAGGCTGGCTCAAAAGTAGCTAGATGTCAATTAACCAAACTGGTGGAGAGGCAAATGTGGTCCCTCAGAATGACCTGATATGACGCCCTTAGATTTTTTGAGGGAATTTGTGAAATCTAAAGTGTACATTACAATACAGCAATATTATTTTATTTGAAGTTCAGAATTTTTAATAATTCTAAAATACAAATGTTATTCCAGAGCTCATGAAAATCACTTTTTTCAATTATCTTCAATATTCAATTCCTCACCATCTATACATTTTTTAGGTTCACTGGCTTCCGTTTTCTGGGAGGAATAAAGGATGTCTGCATATTTATTCAACAAATTGTATGCTTCTCTTACACAGTCTTTTTCTCTATTGTTGCAACTGCATAAAAAACCTTTCAAACCGATATCTAACCCAGGTTTTCGGTTGTTTTTACTTCGATTGCTGTATTTATATTTTGCTTTCTGCATATTATCATTTTGTAAATATTATTTCTGAGTTTCATATAAATTTATTTCGGACATCCCTCTGGTAAGTATTATTTAATTCAAGAAAGAATTATATTGCCTAGGAAATAATATAAAGAAAAAAATTAAACCTATTCATATTACAGGTTGACAATAAGTATATTGTTTGTTTAAGAATTAATTCCTAGCTACTTTTAGATAAGAACACAAAGGAAAATTGAGGCCAAAGGACAAGAGGGCGAATTATCACCCTATTCACAAATAATATATAAGTACTTTTTTGCAATCATTTTATTACAAACTTCAAACTACATTCCAAAATGAAGTTAGAGAACATACGTTTTCCAAATTTACTAACTTAATAATTAAGATATTTTCTGCAGAAATTTTTGGGTTTGTTACCTGGCTTTATTATCTATTAAATGTTGATGGTAATTTAATTTTTTTTTATTCAAATAATAATTTACGAAACATGTAAGATTTTAACATATTCAAAAAACACTTTATTGTGAGATTTTCACTTCACGTTTAGTGAAAATCTCACAATAAAGTGTTTTTTGAATACGTTAGTTATGGATTTTCATCAAGTATCGGCCAGTTCCATCGTATATGTAAGATTTTGCTTGTTGACAACCTAAAACCTTATTCTTGAAACATTCCTTAGAAGGACATTTAATCACGATGTATAGGTAACACTATTACACGAATGTTTACTTATGCCCATAGGAGGATATTCAAATCATTCTTCTGGAGAGTAAACTAAACACAGATATTTGTTTTCATTATTTCTATGTCCTAGCTGATTTTTTCCTAGTGCAGATCTATGTGTTTTGACAAACATTGTCACATCTCTATGGGTGCTTTTTAAAGAAACATGCCAAATATGTATCATATGACAACACTTCTATGGTAGCAGAATAAAATGAAGTGAATTTTTTGTTGAAAAATAAAACTGACTGAAATTCAAAAACAAAGTTAAATCATGGACATGACTGAAACAAATGATTCAAATAAAATATTCATTTCTAAAAAGTGTTTTTAGGTTAACTGGTTCATCAAATACTAATCAAATTATACACATTACTCACATTATGAGGATGGAGCATTGTGTCAAGAGCCCCTCGTTGGAGAAAAATATTTGAACCGGAACAACAGTCTTCCAGTTTATAAGAGAATTTTTCTTCATCGTGAAACATTTTGCTGACATTGCTAAATCGAAAATTCTCAGCTAGGAATTGGAATTATTCTATTCAAGAAACACTTCATCGTGATATTTCAACTGGACTGTTTTACAAAAGCGCAACACGTGTTTCGCAACAAAATAGCTTCTTCGGGCATGTCTATACTAACTAAAATCTACCTATATTTTACAATTCAAAGTAACTAAATATTAAGTACCTGAGTTTCACCTACCTATTCAGTGTAAAAAATGTTTACCTGAATTTGAGAATGGATTGATTAACATAAGAGGAGAAGAGAAAGTGTACAAAGTCACATAAATAAACATGTAATGAATGAAATGACCTGAGCTTATCTATCAATCAATTACCAATTTCCAAATTCGAAAAAATATTCAGTAAAGGGGAGTTATTCAATTCTATTTGGTCATTCAGCAAATGACCGGAATTCTTTTATCTATTTGACTTTCAAACTTTTCTCTTATAAATGTATCACGTCATAGTCATGATTGAGCTTATGTACTTCTGCTAAAAGATGGTTTACAGATGTGAAATTAATCTTTCTATTCAAGAAACTACTATGGTCTTCAATTCTTTGGGAAAAAGTTCTCCCCGTTTGGCCAATATGTAGATTTTAGTCATTATAGACACCCCTGAAGAAGATATTGCATAGCGAAACAAATACTGCTTGTAAAACTGTTCAGTGAAAATCTCACAGTAAAGTGTTTCTTGAATATGTTATGGATTTTCATCAAGTATCTGCCGATTCCATCAGATAGAATTATTGTTATATTCGTAACTGAATCTTAAAACCTTATTTTGTGAAAGTTATTGAACATGGAAATTGCGGATACGTGAGGATTGAATGAAATAAATAAAATGTTGAACTGGAAATTTTCAATCAAATCATTATCAAATGATTTCCAAATTCAGTGAAGTAATAATTTGAAAATGAAAAATGAATTCGTATCGACTTCAGAAATTATTTTGGAAATATCAACTTTTTTTTTATTTTCAGAATTATAGCAGGAATAAGAATTGAAATGACAAAACTATTTGTATTGATTAGCATAGCAGTGTTACTTTGCATTGTTGAAACAGGGCACTGTTGGAGATTTTTCTACAATGGTAGAGTTGTGGACAAAGACTATCAGAACACAAAGTCTTGGAATCTTCAAAGTTCTCCTAGCAAATATGAAAGATGGTTCACTCAAAAATTGGACCACTTCAACCCCAATGATGAAAGAACTTGGAAACAGGTATAAACTAAACTCCTCTGAGTTAGTAATTTCCTAATTACATCTTTCATTTTAGAGATACTATGTGAATGATGAATTTGTGAATAAACAAAGAAACATTGCTTTTCTCATGATTGGAGGAGAAGGGGAAGCTTCTGCTGACTGGATGGAGAGTGGAGCTTGGATCGACTATGCCAAAGAATTCAAACCTATCTGCTTCCAATTGGAGCATAGATACTATGGAAAAAGTCATCCTACAGAGTGAGAATTCATTCACAGATTTTTTTTAATAAACTCTGAAGGTTGAAGACCTTCATATTTAGGAACAAATTTAGCCTTCATCAATACTGTAATTGATTTGGGAAAGTATTTTGCAATCTTAAAAACCATTGAAAAACAACCCAAATTCTTGTAGCTCAGAAGAATATTGATAGTTTGATAAAGAAAGTTTTTGGTTTTCAACTTCTCCATCTTTATACAAATAAAAGTGAGTATCTTCCAAAGGGAGGAAAAAAGCAATTAATTTCAAAATAAACCCTTTACAAAAATGTGTAGATCATGCAAAGAAGTAACTTTCAGACACGAAGTGGAAAAAAAAGCCCTCCAAAAACAACTACTTTCATATAAACATTGAATTACACAAAGGAAAAAATAGCTTCGAGACAACTACTTTCGTATGAACACTGAATTATACGATAAACCCTTTCCTATTCAGTTTGTACTCCAATCATTCATTATGGATTTGAGTCAGATATCATTCGTTAGAATACTACACAATATATGGAAAGTTACGAAATAAAATTTTACTCACGTGAAACATTATTATCCTCAATGGGTGAACTTCAAAGTGTCGGAATGAGACACTTGTTTCATCAGCACCTTTCTAAATAATAANGAATATTTTAATGACGAAACAATATGAAATTGACGGTGCTTACATGTAATAATATATGTGTACTTTTACCTAGATGTGATTATTCGAATGTATTATTTTCATGTAATTATATAATTGTATATTTATCTGGATGTAGTTATTTAAATGTTCTGTTTTTACCAGTGTTTGTCAATAAGGTCATGTATCTTTCATAATAAGTACATACTCTCTCTCTCTCAATCTCTATATGGACATTGAATTATACAAAAAACACTTTTCCCTTTTCAGTTTGTACTCCAAAATTCGTTATGGGATTGAATCAAATATCATTCACAGGATTCCTACACAGTATAGTTTATGAAAGAGATAAAATTTCAATTACATGGAACACTGTCATCCTCGATGGCGGACATCGATGTTTCGAAATTAGACATTTGCATTATTGCATCTTCAGCACTAATTTGGATAACATTACAGATGAAGCACTCAATTAATTCATTGAATAACGACTTTATGTCACGAATGAATTAAATCTAGTCATGTCATCGATGACAGTATGTAATCTACAAATCTTCGTAAAGAGTTCACTTTAAAATTAATAGCTTTTTCCCTTTCTTTGGAAGATTCCCATATTTTTTGTATGAATATGGAGGATAAGCAAAAATACAGAACCTTTCTTTCTAAAAAATCAATGTCTCCTAAAAATATACCCATTCATTTTAAATATTGATAGTATTCATTCAAACATTGACTCTTTTCTTTTGAGTACTTTCATAATAGTGGAATGAAAATAAAAGTTCTAACAAACAATAAAAGAATAGTTGTCTATTTTAGACCTTATTTGAATGAAAAATCAGTGCTGGAGATATTTGGAAAAAATCGAAATTTCGACAATTTCTCATTGTCACTTTTTAAGCTGTATAAGATGGCGATTCCTGTTCTGGCGTAATCCTTCACGGATGGTATCACATACTGAAGTGTCATCATGGGTGTACATCAGTTCTTTATGTCAATGAGGCCAAATTATGGAAATTTCGTCGACATATTTCAGTCATAATTTGGGTTTCATCAGGCAAGTGGCAAAGGCCAAAATGTCTTTGTTAAAATGATGTACACCCAGGACGACACTTCAACATATATCCATATGTATACATACATATGTATGTATTCCCATATGTTAGAGACTTTACAGTTGCAATCAGTAACCAAAAGGTTGACTTTCTCAACAATGATCTTCATTTTTAAAATTGTCAATGGTTTGATGCCAACTTATTTCAAACAATTCATCAAGTTTGATCATGAGGTCCACGAATACTGTACTAGAAGTGCAAACATCGGGCAAGTGGCAAAGGCCAAAATGTCATTGATGAAATGATGTACACTCGGGATGACACTTCAACATATATACATATACATACATACATATAATATTTATATATGTTGCAACAAAGGTAAGATTAAAAGTGAGGACCGAGGTGTGACTTGTAAAGTTGTGAGATGTGGATCGGGACAGTTCCACATATGCGGCAATCTTTGTAAATCCTCTCGCTAAGACAGTGGGACATTTTTCAATTTCAATAGCTCCACTGTTTCACTGTGTGAAAGTGAATACAACCAACAAATGTTCCACAATTACTGAGCTTTATTCATCTTCATTATATAGAAAATCTTTCGTAAACTTACATGGAAATTGTTAACAACTAGTTTTCGTCAAGAATTACCAAGTAGATTTCTGTTTCTTTCAGAGATCTTCGTACAAAAAATTTGAAGTTCTTGTCTAGCCAACAAGCCCTTGTTGACGTGGCATATTTCATAGAAAATATGAACATACAGTATGAACTGTCTCCAGATGTCAAGTGGATAGCATTCGGAGGATCTTATCCTGGATCTCTGGCAGCTTGGTTGAGGCAAAAATATCCTCATTTAGTTCACGGCGCTATGTCAGCTAGTGGGCCTCTATTGGCAGAATTGAATTTTGATCGTAAGTAATACATAAATGAAATAGATCTAGACTGATGTTATTGAATACTCACATATCCACATTTCAATAAGTCAGATGAGAATCGGTAATATTTTGAAACGATTTTTATATACATGTCCAATCATGGACTTTCATGCGATTAATGAATTTTTCAGTATTAGTTTCTTAAAGAATCTGCGTGGTTGATATTGGCTTTTATTCTGATGGTCTATATAGAAACTGATTATTTGGGCAGTATGGTCCGATACATGGTTTTCGACTACTTTAGTTTCATATTTTCCATGGTAATTAGTGAAAATATTATCTTTAAGCTCTATGTTAAAACCTCCTGCTATAAATGCAATTTTATTTTGACTATGTAAAAAAATCAACAATCGTTCAAATCGATCCCAGAAAATATCCATAGAAGCTTCACTTGGTCTGTATAATGATACAATTATGATATGAGTTTTATCAATATTTACTTCTATTGGTGAACATTCGAATTCTCGTATTACTGAAAGATTTACTAACATACTCACTGGTTTAAATTGGGTGTACTTTCTACAATAAATCGCCGATCCGCCATGTTCATTTACTTCTCGACAGACTTATGATGTTAATTTGAAATCTTCTAATCCTAGATATTTCAATTGTTGCTCAGTTTTCCAATGTTCAGTTGCACATAAAAAATGGCATGTCTCATTGTTTTTTAAAAATGTGTCTATTTTATCTACACTATTTCCTAGGGATTGTATGTTTTGATGTGTTGTTTATTTGGTATGTCATATTTATTTACATAAAATTTGATGAGGAGTCTTGCTGAATATAAGAGTTGTACTTGGCGAAATCAAAACGTCTGAAGCCAACCCCTCTGGGCCAGAAGCTTGGGACATATATCTGATCCTTGTTGGACAACTTTACGCCTAGCATGAAGCATTTTTTGCGGGATTTGTGATGGTAACTCCTTCACTACATAATCATCTTCTCCTAACTTCTCCTTCAGGTAGCTCTTTATGTGAGTTGTTTCGACTTCGGGCAACACCCTGTAGGTAAAACTGCTTTGAAACCATGGGTATTAATTTCTTCTCCTTGTCCAATCGTTTTACTTGGTGGTAGTCTTTGGTTTCGTTTCTGCTTTCTTGTCTGTACTCTTTCAAAATCATCAGTATCCATATTTTCATTTTGTGATATGTGGTCTGGAGGTTCCTGTGACTCATCCTTGTTTATTTGTTTATTTTCCGATGAGTCTCGATTTGCCTTGATGTTTTGTTGATCTATTATTTGGCTATGCTGAAAAATTTTTCAGGCTTATGATTGAAATGAGTTTTCAATGGAAGTTACGTTTATGACGGGCTGGTTCAAGAGTGGCTGGATATTGATTATAGAAACCGGTGGACAGGCAGACAAAAAAAATCCAAACAGGCACTAGACAGGACGCAGTATACAATTTTGGGATGAAAGTGTTCAATATAGGAAATATATACATATCGTAATAGTAATATCTTTATGAAATAAAAAACAAATTTCAAAAAAGTATTTGTTGCTTTGCAAACATAATGTTTTTTTATATCTTTTTTAAATATATTCAATGGTGTTGAATATATGTCTACTTTCTGACTGACTTGATTTAATTTATAGCACATTGCAAATAAGGAAGATTTGAATAAAATATTGGTTCTCGGTGTTGGTAGGAAAAAACATTCTTCAGTTCTACTGCTGATTCTTGGTACATGAAAATGTAGTTGAGACAGTAGTTTTGGTGAGTTGACAAGATTGTTTACCAGTTTGTCTATGAATTAGCAAGAGATAGAAAATAATAGACATCTAGTTTGTAGATAACATATTTCATAAACCGTCGTTGGACAGATTTAAGCGATTGAATGTATGTACGAGTAGTGTATATAAGTGTATATAGGTATAAGACAGCCACATTCTAACTGGGATTTAATAAATGAGTTGAAGAGAGTTATAAAACTTTCCATGTTTTCGAAACCTTTACAATTTCTAAATATAAGCTCCAACATTATTTTTTCAGTATGTATGGTACAAAAGGTGGTATATTTACATTTACATTTACTCAAATTGAGTAGAATATTGTCTGAAGAACACCAGAAAGCTAATTCAAATCATTTTGTAATATATTTGGTTGTCATTAGGTGACTCTATGACCAAAAAACCTTCAGAACATCAGCAAATGATAGAATTTCACTATCTATATTTAATCTTGTGTCATTGATGAAAATTTCTTTTTAATCATTTTTGTATGGCTGTTCAAGTTGATTTTGTGGTCAATGGTAACTCCCAAGTATTTCACTGATTGCCTGCTTCTTACCATTTCGTTGTTGATGTTTATTGTTGGTAGCGTCTCTAAAGGGTTGTGATGAAAAATGATGAATATATTATATATTATGTAGTATTCAAAATATAATTGAACAGTTGTCTGTCCACTGATAGTCCAATAATGTAGTAGATGATAACTACTAGTTATCATTTCACTCTTGTAGTTACTAAGTACTCAGAGATTTTTCATTTGTCACTAGGGAAGGGCCATGTCATTATTGCTGGCATCGGGGTCCACAGATTGATGTAGGGGACTGCAGATGAATGTTTATGATTTTATGAAATACCTAACACATATTTTTTATTATGAAATAAAGCTCAAGGAGTTTATCCGCCAGTATCTCAGTAAACAATGAATCTGCCTGAATTGAATCAAATTAAATTAAACCTAAATTAATTATCTAATGAATTTTACATCATGTTCTTCATTAAATTCTACAAAAAGGATTTGAAGCTTTATATCTTCTATTAATTATCTGCAAGCGCTTTCGACAGTTGGTAGTACTGTCATCTTCTAGGCACCCTCAAACTTTGTTTGAGGGAGCTTTATAACTCCTATTTAATTATATGCGAGTGCTTTCGACAGCTGGTCGTGCTGTCATCATCTAGCCTTGAATATCTGAACAGATAAGAACACAAACATTTTTATAATTGATGAAATGATTAAGTAACCCTTCTGGTGGTACAGATCAAATATTTTTCAGAATACTTCAAAGTCGTTGAAGATGATTTGAGACTATACAGTGACGATTGTTTGAATGCGGTTCAGGAGGGCACAATTCAGGTAAACACCCTTCTGAAACATAAGCTCGGTCAGAGGAATTTGGACACCCTCTTCAAATTATGTGATCCCATTGGCAGAAATGTTGAAAATTCACTGGATATTTCTAACTTCTTCTCCACTCTTGCTGGAAACTTCGCTGGTATAGCTCAGTATAACAAAGACAACAGAAAATCCAATAGGCAGCACAATGTCACTCTAGATGTGTTGTGTAATATAATGGTGAATCAATCTATTGGTCCTCAGATTACAAGATTGAGTGCTGTAAACAATCTTATACTGAGTATAACAAATCAGGAGTGCCTGGATTATAAGTATGATAAGATGATTTCGGAATTGAGGAACATCAGCTGGGACAGTATTACATCTGAAGGGGGTAAGTTTTTTTCTCTTTCTATTTACTTTTCATAAACACAGTATGATGATGTTCACGGATTCTCCAACATATTTATTATTTTTTAATTTTTTGGTTTAGGTTGTGATGTCTTGGTTTTGTCCTCCATTAAAAATGAACAAAATTAGTATTTCCACTGAAAATCATCAATATTAAAAAAAATTGACAAGCAGTTTCTCACAACTCAATTCCAAATATTTCGTTGATTGAGATGGAATGAAAGATGGAAAAAGGATCAGAAATCAAAGAGCATAAAAACAACAAAAAAGTCACTCCAGATTTGGAAATTTATCACAGTCCAATTTTATATTTCAGGGTTCTGAACTCTAGACTCTCGACTTCCTTAATGTTCTAATTATTTTAGTGGGTGCAAATATGCTAAAATACACACATCGCCAAAATTCTTGGACCCTCTTCGTAAATTGGTTTTTTGTACATTTCATCTTTATTTCTTTCACCTGTGCTGGGTATGCAAAAATGTTTACAAAAACCATTTTCTCTAATTTTAGATACCAATTTTTAAAAAGTGGTTCATATCGATTTAGCGTGTTTTAGTGATTGTTGAGTTCTTCTTTACAATTATGCCTGACAATAGAATTCAAGTGTTCCATAGAGCAAGAATAGTGGCTTTGCATGATAAGGGTCTGCCGAATCATCAAATCACGGATAGACTAAGGATTTCCCACGCTTCAGTTATCCGAATAGTGCATTTGTACCAGGAAACTAACAGTGTTGACTAGAGACGTGGAACTGGGCGTCCTAGGGTAACTAATGCAAGAAAAGATCGGTATCTAGCAGGATATGTACGTCGGAATCGGACCATAACAGTCTCAGCAGTCTGAACTCATTTAAGAAGAACGTTTTGTGAATAATTTCCAGTACCACAATGCGGCGGAAACTTGCTAGAGCCAATTTGCAATCCAGGAGGTTATTGAGAGTACCCAGGCTACTTCCCAGACACATAGCCACTCGTCTACAGTGGGCACAGGAACAGAGAGATTTGCTTTTAGCTCAGTGGCGAAATGTCCTTTTTTTGGATGAAACCAGATTTGGTTTAGTTAGTGATAGTCGACGACACAGAGTTTGGAGAGGGCCAGGGCGACAAGAAAGTCTATCTTTTGCTAGAGAAGTCGTTCTATACCAAGTACGATCAGTAATGTTTTGGGGAGGCATAATGCATGGTCGTCGTATACAGCCTATTCCCATTACAGATACTATGACAGGGGATAAATATGTTCGAAACATCATTGAACCCTCTCCGAAATGAAATTGGAGCCAATTTAATTTTCGTGGATAACAATTCTAGGCCGCATCGCACGAGAAGAGTACAAAATGCACTAAACGTTGAGAATATTCAAAGATTACCGTGGCCAGCAAATTCACCAGACATGAATCCCATTGAGAACATGTGGCATTTCGTTAAACGAGCAATCTCAAACAGAAATAATCCTTCTAGCACCCTCCCGGAACTCACACTAGCGGCCCAAGAAGAATGGAACAACATCTCAATGGATACCATTAACGCCCTTATTGTTTCCATGCACAGGCGAGTTACCCCTTACTACAGAACAGGGGAAGACGCACCGAATATTAATGCATTTTTTATTTCGCTCTAAAATGGTTTTCTTCTACATTTCAGATTCTGGTAATCATTTTATTATGCACTATTTTTTGTTTGTATTTTTTTTCTTGTTCAGTTAAAATTAAATTCAGCCAATTTGAGTTGGTTACATAACCAAAATAAATGTACTTTGTAATACACTTCTCGACTTATGATAATAATGTCTCATTTAGACAAACATAAGGGGTACTTTTGATGCACTGTTTGGAACCTTTGGTGTAGTAATGAATATTACTGGAGTTTTTCCCTACACCAAATCGTTATTTTTAACATCTCGACACGTGTTTCGATCACCAAGTGATCATCTTCAAGAGGAAGATCAAGAACTTATGATGCACTGTTTGGAACCTTTGGTGTAGTAATGAATATTACTGGAGTTTTTTCCCAACACCAAATCGTTATTTTTAACATCTCGACACGCGTTTCGATCACCAAGTGATCATCTTCAAGAGGAAGATCTTCCATCTTGATCTTTAATAACGATTTGGTGTTGGGAAAAAACTCCAGTAATATTCAAAAATAAGGGGGTCCAATAATATTGGCGATATGTGTATATTTTGAATATGGTATTGATTTCATTTATATTTTATGGTCTCATGCTCACTTTTTGCCAGTTCTCTCACATCCCCCAATGGCTGTGAAGTCCGGACAAGTAAATAGAAAACTTCTATAGAATTGCCAGTTCACAACCCATAGGCTCGTAGGCGTAAATTCTGCTTTTCGATTGGGGTGGCAAAGTTTATCGGGGGTTCAAGTTATAAAAGAAGTCGTTTTTGACGTGACAATATATATGTATAATGTGGCTTCTACCCCCTCCTTCAATTTACGCCTATGTATGTGGTCCAGTGACTTACAGATAAGGACTTTTATAAACACATTCATTCTCTTTTTTTGTATAAACTTTGGCAATACTTATTTATACAAATAATGTAAAAATCAAAATGGTTAAATGTGAAAAATAAATATATATAAAATTTACAAATAATGTATTGTGTTTTTCATCTCTCTAATTTTAGATACCAATGTTTAAAAAGTGGTTCATATCGATTTAGCGTGTTTAAGTGAT